CAGAAATATTGAGAGTTATCTCCCTTGCCCAGGTAATCCTGACCAATGATGTTTTAATAGTGTCGTATTCAATGCCAAGCTCTTTACAAGCTCACTCCAAGAACTGATGTGTGGGAGAGCCAGATACATCGCCTCTATTTATAGATACTGAATATCTTGTGAGGCCTCATAGGTCAGGTCTCGTTTGTTTCAAAAGATTTTCAGATTAAGGTGATTAAACTTGAAAATTATGAAAATTATATTACCCAATGTGTGATGAGTATTGTTTCCATGCTAAGGAAAAAACAGATATTCAAACACAACACATTTTGAATATTTGTTGATTTTTTTTTTTCCTTTCTACAATATGTAAATAGTACTACTAGTTAGTTGCAGTACGAACGTAATGAGTTTAAACCTGCTCCACCCCTTCATGAATCAATGGGTAGCCTAGTAGTTAACATGTTGCTCCTCATTCCAAAGGGTTCCTCACTCAGGTACAATGTGTCAAGTCTGTTTCTGGTATCCCCTGCTGTTATGCTGCTTGAATATTGCCAAATATTTGTGTAAGGAATCAGTGGTTCAACTTTACAAATGGTTTGTCTGCACACTGTGTTGAAATTTGATGTGTCGAACTTACGATTGTCTCACTCAAGTCTGTTTCTGGTATCCCCTGCCGTTATGCTGCTTAAATATTGCCAAATATTTGTGTAAGGAATCAGTGGTTCAACTTTACAAATGGTTTGTCTGCACACAGTGTTAACACTGTGTTGAAAATTGATGTGTTGAACTTACGATTGTCCCAAAGTAAAAGCTTGGTCCCTGTGTATTCCTTTTTTGTTCATCCTTTTTCATTTGGCGAACCTCATATATCTCAAAGTATTTAAGTAGGTCCCTTCAACCGCTTCACAATGGTGTTTGACTATATATATTGTAGGTCTTCCATATTAAAACTCCAACACTCTGTCCTAGCCTAATGCAAGCCAGCTTCCTTCCACACAGCTATGTAGAATCTGTACTTCTGTTCATAAATTTAGACAGTCGTCAATGTAAGATCCTTTATTGATTGAAGCCATGGAGCTACTCCTGTGCCATTTTATGAAAGTCACAACTAGTGATAATGAATATTGTGTAACATGTCTCACATATCTGTTTATGTATTCTCTTAGTAGAATAAATAAATTGTAAGACATTTAGTATGATGATACATACTACTGCAACTAAGAAGGTCTGAAGGTACATTTTCAAACACTCCAGGGAGATCGGTGGGGTAGCCTTGTGGTTAAAGCGTTCGCTTGTCCTGGGTTCGATTCCCCACATGAGTACAATGCGTGAAGCCCGTTTCTTGTGACCCCCACTGTGATAATGCTGGAATATTGCCCTAATTGGCGTAATACCATACTCATTCATTCATTCAAATACTCTGGGGCCCATTCCATGAACTGATCTGAGCGATTTCACCATTGCAACTCACATGCGTTTACATGGACTAACAATTCTCTTGGTACAAAGAACGCTTTGTTGAGGGGGTTGTTTGAACTTTATGATGCCGGAACCTGTTCCTTAAAATGATCATAGCTCTATGACTGTCATGTTAAAGTAGAGTCCACGTGAAAGTTTGGAGCTACAATCGTCTTATCACTACGATCAATTTGTGGAACAAGATTGTAAATCACAGGTGTAGTGTGTGTCAGACACCGAAACATGTAGTTATCAAATTGTCCAAATCCTGCTCAAAAGTGAAATGTTTTTCTTGCATGTAGATCCCTCCCATGGGAATCCTCCCTGTGTTAATTTCTTGCAGTGCTGGCTGTCAGGTGTCAGTGTGGCCTTGACTATAGTGGTGTATGTAATTCTGCGTTTCCTCTGCCACACATACACTCAGCAGCCTGTCCTGCACCCTTCAAGGGCTGGTCCTGTGTGTGGCAGGTTGTGGGAGAGGAGAGCACCAGGCTGACTAGCTCACTACACCAAGCTATTCGCTGCAATAAATATTGATCGTAGGAGACAGTTGTTTGGAGCGTTACTGTACATACTGCAATAAATTTATGTAGGTGTACGGTGTTATGTGGAGCTGTAGGATACGGAAGGCATCTGTTCAGTTTCATCATGTAAGTGCAAGCATGGGGTTCTAGGGGCCTTTCTGCCCCGAGATCACCACACGTTTACACACATACCTGCAGGACTTGACTAGCATGGGGTACTGGGGACCTTTCTGCCCTGAGATGTACTGGGGACCTTTCTGCCCTGAGATCACCACACGTTTACACACATACCTGCTGGACTTGACTAGCATGGGGTACTGGGGACCTTTCTGCCCTGAGATGTACTGGGGACCTTTCCGCCCCGAGATCACCACACGTTTACACACATACCTGCTGGACTTGACTAGCCTGAGGTTCTGGGGACATTTCTGCCCCGAGATCACCACAGGTTTTCACACCTGTTTGTTTGGTCTTTAATGCCGCACTCAGCAATATTCCTGCTATATGATTGCAGCCTGTAAATAATCAACTCTGGACCAAACAAACCTGTGATTGACATCATGAGCATCCATCTACGCAATTGAAATACGATAACGCATATCAACAAGTCAGCGAGCCTGACCACCTGATCCTGTTTGTCGCATCATACGACAAGCATGGGTTGCTGATGACCAACTTTAGCAGGAAGTCCACATGATGAGCATGCTTATGGTTCATCTCCACTGAAGCATAAACTATATTCCCCACTGAAAGCTGGTTGACACTGTGTGTATGGGTGTACACCTGGCACTTGTATGTTACTTCCTTATCCAGAGTGAAGGGTGTGTGTTATGGTGGGGGATGTCTGGTTTCTTCATTTCCTCAAAGACCGCCTCCGTGGTCTTGTGGTAGAGCGTCCGCCCGGAGAGCGGAAGGTCCGGGGTTCGATCCCCGGCCGCGTCATACCAAAAGACGTTAAAAGATGGTACTTGTTGTTACCCTGTCTGGCGCTCGGCATTAAGGGGCTAAAACAAGGACTGGTCGGCTCGGAGTCAGTATACTGTGTCTGAGTGGGGTATTCATGTTAAACTGCGCCATGGTATCTCTGAGCTAGCACTATAAATTGGCATCAGTCCTGACTAGTACAAGCAGCCACACAAACACACACACGTACATGCACGTCGCTATATAAGTGCAATAATCTTGGACGCGACGTTAAACCCCATTTCACCTCACCTCATTTCCTCAAGGTCATAGTGGGGATATAGAAATGAGAAGATAGGTGCTTGCTTTGCTTGAATAATTTTTAAAAAGATCAACCATTTAATTTATTTTTTGCTACCTTATTAGATGTAGGTCTTCAGCAACCAATGCTTGCTTTAAAAGGTGCCTGTGCTTGTTGAAAGAGATGACTAATGGGATTTGGTGGTCAGGCTCCCTGTACTTGTTTGATGCACATCATCTTTTCCCAATTGCGTGGAACAATGCTCATGATATCAATCACTGGTGTGGTGTGGTGTGGTGTGGTGTGGGTGTGGTGTGGTGTGGTGTGGGTGTGGTGTGGGTGTGGGTTTGGTGTGGTGTGGTGTGGTGTGGTGTGGGTGTGGTGTGTGGTGTGGGTGTGTGGTGTGGTGTGGTGTGTTGTGAGATGGGTTAGGCTAGGTATTTAGCTGGGTGATGTGTGGTCTGGCAGGATCAGATAGTGTGAAGTTCACAGTGGTATGGTGTGGGTGTAGTTGAATGGGGTTGGTTCATTGTTAGTATGGAGTATGGTGGTGGGGGGGAATGGGGTAGGATGGTTGAGGGTGCATAGGGTGGTGTTAAAGAGGATGGACATGAATACAATGGATTCATTCCTTGCTGTACTTGATGTATATAACCAAAATGTCTTGATCTTATTTTTTAATAGAAAGATGTGGTTAAGGGAATGATGCCTCAAGCAAGATGGCAATATGGCAATATGGCTGTCAATGATTTGACTATGTTTGAAAGTTTTACATCAAATTTAGTCCATGAAATAAAACCCTGTCTACAAGGTTGGTGGCATCATTGTGAGCAACATCGGCGTGATGGATGTCGTGCTAGATGAGATCAGTAGTAGTCAGGGTATCCTGAGGCTAACTCTATTGATTGCATGGACACGACTAGACAGACAAAATGGCGTAAACACTGATTGTGTCGCTGTAATACATCCCATTCACGCTCCTCGCGATCAATGATATGAGAAAATCAGACACTAGGTGTATCAATACTGTGAAGTTGAGTATATTGGAAATGTCTCATACACAAAATCATGCGATCACAGAACTGTCTTCTGCTTTTTTTTTTTGCTTTGAGAAATGAGCTGTAATTGAGATCTTTGACATTTGTCCAGCCTCTTTGATGCACTCTACATGTAGACAGTCACCAAATAAGGAGTTTTTGCCATGTTGTGTCTGCGTGTGTGTGGGAGTGGCTTCACTGTAGTGAGGATATGTTCTAGCCAAGTAGAACATGAGAAAAATATAAAAATATAAAAATATTGAGAGATTCATTTTGGTCTCAATGGCTGAGATTGGTTCCAATATAAGAATAATTTTCAGTCTCAAGTTCAACAGGGAAAACAAACTCTGCCATGATGACATAGGATAACTGTTAAAAATAGGAAATATATTCTTGCCAAATGATACATTTAACATAAATTAGCTGCTAATATTAACATACTTACAATAATACAACATTTTATATTTATGATTGTCGTATGACGCGACTAACGGGATCGAGTGGTCAGGCTCACTGACTTGGTTGATGTATGTCATCATATCCCAATTGCGTCTATCGATGCTCATGACATCAGTCACTGGATTGGCCAGACTCAATTACTCACACAGTGCTGTAATATTGCTGATTGTGGTGTTAAACAACAGACATATCGTTTTTATTCATATTTGTATTTTTACTATCATCATCATTATATTCATCAGGATGTACATTCTCTGGTGCTCAGTTTTGCAGGTGCATGAATGTCACCCGTGTCTGTGTTAACTTGCATTAACTGTGTGTTTTATTTACATATAGGTACAGTACCATAGTGAGTTCGAGAGGTTCAAGTCCTCATATACAGTGATACCTGATAACCCTGAGCTACAGCGCCACATGCTTAACACCAAGAATGCCAGTCTGGTAACTAACACCCAGGCATGGTTTACTGAGGGAGGGTGCCGGTAGTACACCCTCAAATGTGTGCTGTGCTTACCTTTTAGTTTCCTTTAATCAAGGAAGAAATATGTGCATGGAAAGTAAAGTTGAAAAAAAACCCAATATAGATGGATTGAGTGTGTTAATAGATATAGGGTTTTCGTCATAGTCCACAACATAACAGGTATGGTATTGAGGCCTGTGAAGTGATTGATTCTGGATCAGCAAAACCAGTGGTTGATAGCATGAGCACAGTGTATGACAATATGATGATGCATGAACAGATGACATGCAATAGCCACCCATTCTCCTTTTTGTCTTCTCTTTCGTAAGCTATCATAATATGATGATGCTTGATCAACCAGATCACACTTAATAACCATCTGATCACCCTTAATCTGCTATTACGGAAACTGCCATATCCATCCAATCCTCTTTAATCTGCTATCACAGACACTGTCATATCCATCCAATCCCCATTAATCATCTGTCACAGAAACTATCCTATGCATCCAATCCCTTTAAATATTCTGTAATGGCAACTATCATAATATGATGACACATGATTGCCCAGATCACACATAAAAAACATCCAATCCCCTTTAATTTTCAGTCAAGTTCATATGTGGCAACGATACACACTGCTTGGTTACGATATATCGCAACAGAGAGTCAGATTTTCAACTATTCACACTGTGCAGCCTTCGCGACAAACTGTTTCAATATTTCAAATAAAGTTTATGTTTCATTTAGGTATAGGAGATATCTGTTGCAGAAATAACTTCCAAGGCAGCCATACAAGGTCACGCCCCCATACTGGATAGAATTAACCTTCAGCAACTCATGCTTGTTGTAAGAGGTGACTAATGGGATCGGGTGGTAAGGCTCACTGACTTCGTGGATGCATGTCTTTGTATCCCGATTGCGTAGATCATTGCTCATGATGTCAATCACTGGATTGTCTGGTCCAGACTCAATAATTTACAAACCGCCGTCATATAGCGGGGATATTGCTGTGTCAAGCGACATATAAACATTAGGGGTCACATGAGCATTGTCATCTGAATTAACCATTCTATGATGCAGCTGAATTTTCACATGGCGATACTACTTGACATTGAAATGACAGACATTTTGTGAAAGCAGAAACACAAGTAGCCAGCCTCTGTCTCCGATGGGGTTGGCCTTCACCATCCTGACCATGTGTTCACCATGTGTTCTCATTCCATGTTCAAAGCTGAGCAGAGACATGATGAGAGTTGAGACTTTGTCTCACAAGGATCATGTTGTTTATGTCATACCCCTTTATACTGCATCACAAGCAGTTGATGCTTAACTGTTCTGGTAATAAGGACTTGTTCCTCAAGCTTAGCACTTTGACTATCATGCATGAGTTTATGTTTTCATGATTCACCAGATCCAGAATATACAAGGGCCCATCAAAATGCTTCTTGTTGTTGGTTTAGGTTTCAACAGTCCTTGACCCAGAAGATGTTCCTGTGTTAATAATTAACATCAATATCGTTGCGTTTCTGGAGGTACAAACATAAGAAATGATGTGCGTACTATGTAAATCCACAATGGAAATTTATGCACAGTGTGCACATAGGTTTTTATGTTTATAACTCCATAAAGGCTAAAGGGGCGGTCGGGAAGCCTAGTGGTTAAAGCGCTCGCTCGTCACGCCGAAGACCCGGGTTCGAATCCCGACATGGGTACAATGTGTGAAGCCCATTTCTGGTGTCCCCTGTCGTGATATTGCGGGGATAGTGCTAAAAGCGGCGTAAAACCAAACTCACTCACTCACTCACCATAAAGGCTAAAACATATGGAAATCAATTCTTATAAGTACATACGTCGGCAATGAGAACTTCACAGACTGCTTATTTAATCATGAACACGCAAAAACTGTAGACAACAGTACGAAATAGATGACATCATTCAGCGCAATAATCCCACACAAGCCCCGCCCCTTCTATTATCAGCCAATGAGGAAACAGTCGTCCGTTAGTGGGAATGGCATATTTATTTCTGGTCAATGGAAACATAAATGCAAAAGAATATTGCAGTGTATTATATTTAGAATATGTTCCCAGTTCATAATGTTTTGGAACCTCGATATGTCCTATGAGCAGACCAATGAGAATTGGTAGGTTACAGTGGGATCTGGTTGGTTATGTAATTAATCATTTTGTCAACCACAGGTTTGGCCAGAAACCTCTGAAAAGCAGTAGATGACATCACAGGAGATTTCCACATGCAAATAAAGTATACTACTCAAAAGAAGTTAAGGACTACCAGATTCTTTCATGTTTCTATAGTTAATCTGTCTTTCCATGACACATTAATTATAGTAATATGATCGAGTTGGGTGGTCCTTAACTTCTTTTGAGTAGCATATAATGATGTAAAACAATGTTTGGGCACATACAGTGACAGACTTTATTTATTATTTCTTCCTTAACTGAAATCAACAACCTATGATATTCATTTAAATAGTTTAGTGATGATGGATTCGAATCCCGGTTGGTCCTGATTATGTTTCTAGGTTTGTCACACAACATATTTCCTCCAACATCAAACTGACTTGCCATGATATAACTAGAATACTGTTCAAAGCAATGTTAAACCCAACTCAGTCTAAATTCAATCTAGTGCTATCAAATTTTTCTACATGGGCACCAGTGTATATCCTAATTCTCACACTCAACTATTAAATATGTCAGATATATTTAAATATGCACTACACATATTATAATCAGTTTGGTGTATCATGGAAAGAAAAAAATATTCCTATCGAAAGTGGAATAGTATAGAAGCACAGGATCTGTATGCAATTATCTGCTAGACTGCCAGGACCTCAGTAACCAATTCAATAACATTTGTATGCATCGCGAAACAATCAGGGTTAGTCCATATTGCGATCCTTCATCTGAGACTCTGTTCTCCGCCAATGTCATAAATCTATAAGTGTCCACGCAGCATTATGAGGTAGCTCCACCAGTCCATCCCAGCAACCTTGAACAATATGGGAGCCAATTACCACCTGACGTTTCTTGGAGATGAGGCCTATGTGAGCTGTAATTGTCCTGCTTACCACCTATCTACCTCAGAAGCAGCTCAGTAGTAGCTTCTGTTCAGTTCCAGGTCAACCGGTTTCCTGACCTGCTAACATTAACAGATCAATTAACATGAAATTGAAAGAAAAGTAATTAGAACATTCCTCTGGGAGCACTTTTCTGGGAGTGAGTCTTGTCCTATGCCAGAGTTGAATTGTTTTGCACTGGTCATTGATCCCCGAATGTCATACCAAAAGATGTTAAATGATGGTGCTTGTTGTTACCCTGCCTAGTGCTCAGCATTAAGGGATAGAATAAGGACTGGTCAGCTCGGAGTCAGTATACTGTGTCTGAGTGGGGTATTCATGGTATCTCAGTGGGCTAGCATCATAAAACTGGCATTAGTCTGGACTAGAACAAGTCGCAACATACACACATATGTGTGCATACATGTTACTGTAAAAGTGCAATAATCTTGGTTGTGATGTTAAGCTCACCTCACCTCACCTCACCTCACCTCACCTCACCACACCTCACCTCACCTCACCTCACATAGTTTGGCAGCTTAATTATGAACTCATGGGAGCTGAAGACATTAATAAAAGTTAATGATATATGTTACTGCTGTATTTACTATGCACTAGAGTGAAAATAAACCTTAAGGTAGAATGAGACTGAAATTTGTGGTGCAGTCTTTCCACTGACTTTTCTTTATAACATCTGTTAAACATTTTATATGGTTGACTTTGTGGTAAATGACATGCTTGTCAGTCAGAGCCAAAGACTCGTGTTCGATTCCCAACATGGGTTCACTGAGTGAAGCCCATTTCTGGTGTCTCCCGCCGTGTTATTGCAGGAATATTGCTAAAAGCGGCGTAAAACCATACTCACTCACTCACTCACTCACTTGTCAGTCAATTTGTAGTTTGATTCCACACATAGGTAGATGTCTGAAGCTTATTCTTAGTCTGAGGGATGGTGGGGTGAAGGTTTAGGTGTTCAGAATCTTAATGCCGAGTTTGGTTCCCAACATGGTTAATCCATGTATTCCGTGTAAAGTCTAATTCTTGTGTCCCAGTCTGTGATATGGCTGAAATGTTGCTAAAAGTGGCATATGACATCAAACTCACTCAAAGACTCACCCATTCAGAGCCTGAAAGCAGCAATATTGCTTGAAGATAAAAGCAAACTCATTTGCTCATCTCTTAAAGAGAATCTATAAAATATGTAAAAAAAGTGAATTACTTTCATTGATTTTCTGGCTGTTACACGTACCTATTACATAAAATTGCAGAATAAGTTGTTAAAATTAAGTGCTCTTAGGTTGCCCCATATTAGCAATAGGAATGCAAGTGTGCTGATGTCTTCCCAGTGAACCTGAACGTAAGCCGGACAGTCTAGGCCCAGACTTTCGTATCTCAGTGATGTGCTATGACAGAGATGAAATTGCTTTTCACACGGTTTAGAGATTGTCTTTGCTGCATCTGTATTGATTTGATGGAAGACAAAATTAGCCATGTTGCTTGTGTTGTGTGAGAGTAAATATGGCCCCCTTGTGCAGGCCAAAGTGTTTGTTGCCATCTGGTGGTAATTATTTGATATTTTCTCTGCTTATTTCTGGAGAAATTGAATGATTGCTGAGTTGAGCGAGATGATTAGAATCAATGTGGTAGCAAACAAGGTGATTTTAAGCACATATACCTGTATGGGTTGTGTATATGCTGAAGGCTATGTTGCTCTTTGCTTACGATGCATAATGTATGCTTAACCAATTCAGCAGATGATGCTATGGTCAAATGTGCCTTTCAGCAGAAAAGTAAATGGAGCCTCATCATTGAAATGTTTTGTCCCTCATTTTATCTTGTCATAAAACCTAGATAATGAACATTGTTGGATAAGCTCTGGTTGTCACGATATTTTAATTGTACGCATGGATGCACATTCAGAATACACATTAAGAAATATTTGCCATTTTTGGGGTAATTATTCACTCTTGATTTTTCAGGGCTTGACCTACTTGCTCTTTCAGGCTTGCGGAGGTTGAATAAAGGGAGACAACTCTTATTGGGTAACTGTGTTCAGCGGTAGAGTGACTGCATGGTTTCCTTCCATTTTAGATGTAGTATCCTGAACATCACAAGACACAAGTATTTAAAGATGAATCCTGTTTATATATTTGTAAATTATTTTTTATATTTTTGTACTAAAAAATTGTGTGTATGTATTTTGTAAATATGGTTGAAATATACATGTATTGTATGTATATTTGTTGAACTTTGACGCCTTGATGTGTTTGGGACAGTTTGTGTGTTCTCATTTTATGATTTATACAATTGTGAAGGAAAACCGTCAACACCATATGAGACAAATCCTTACACCATCAGGACCTAAAGATTTCTTCAGAGCATCTGAGATGAATTAAATGGGTACACACAAATATATAATGCATAACAAATAAGGCCTTGCAACATCACCATCATCGTCGTCATTATCAACATCAATGATTCTACCATCGTCTTTATCGCTAGGAAGATCACATTTTTTAATACTTATTTTCTTAATCATTTTTTGTCTTAAAGTTTGATGGCTTTCCTGAATAGTTAGTTGTTTGTCTGATGTCACTAGAATCAGTACCACAGCGCGTTTGAGAAGAGCAAGAGCATCTACACCGTCATTGCTGACCCCAATGGACTGCAACAGCTTCTACAGAACTCCAAGAATGCCAGCGTGGTAGCTACGCTTTTATTGTGTTAACTGTTATATGACCAAGTTGTCTCCCTTTGGGTAATATAAGTCTATATGTTGATGACACCTTAAGGCCTTGTCTTGTGGATACCAGTAACCTATTCTGGTAGTTCAATGGAGATATGTTACTGAAATGTTCAAATTAAATCTGTTATAAATATGTGTATGCTACTCAGATTAACTGTTCACTAGTTTTAACAAAGTGTAGCATTATTTAAGTGTGATGTTCCGATTGAAATGAAAAACAATTTTCTTTGTATTTGTAAAATCAAAATCAATTATAATGGCTACAAACTATGCAACAGTATACTGGTATATATCCCTTGTGCTAGAATCTGTACCATGCTGATTTTGAGAGGACCAAAGGTGATTATACAACAGTTGTCGATCCTCTCCATGTGAAGAAATGTCTTGAAAACACCAGGAATTTGAGTTCGGTATGGGTAAATAATGCTGTTGTATTGTACTAGTGCAGCATCTCGGCGATAGCCGCATAGATAGTAGCATGCTTGCTAATAGCAAAGCCAGTGTCCATTATTCGCTGCAAATATACTGCAACTTGTCATATTCAGCCATACAACAGTTATACAGGCTTCAAAGCAATGCTTTGTGGATGTGACTGTAGCCCAGCGGATAATGTGTTCATTCATGGAATAATGGTTTGATTCCCAGCATATGTTTTATGTGTTAAATCCGCATTTAGCCAAAGTGTAAAATATGTTTGAAGATGTTGGAAACAAATCTTTGGATGGTCTAGTTCCTTTTATTTATACTTTTACTCTGAGTTTGCTGCACAGTGTCTAATGTTCTGGTTTGAGACCAAGGAAAAATATTTTGTCCTTCGTGCTGAACCTTCTTTGGTCATTTATATGTGTATGAGGATATAATCTGAGCTGTATTTGGAAAAATGAGAAACCATCAGAGCTGTATGTGGACTATGGAAAACCATCAGAGCTGTATGTGGAATATGGAGAACCATCAGAGCTGTATGTGGAATGTGGAGAACCATCAGAGCTGTATTTGGAATATGGAGAACCATCAGAGCTGTATTTGGAATATGGAGAACCATCAGAGCTGTATTTGGAATATGGAGAACCATAAGAGCTGTATTTGGAATGTGGAGAACCATCAGAGCTGTATTTGGAATATATGGAACCATCAGAGCTGTATTTGGAATGTGGAGAACCATCAGAGCTGTATTTGGACTATGGAAAACCATCAGAGCTGTAATTGGAATATGGAGAACTATCAGAGCAGTATTTGGAATATGAGGAACCATCTGAATTGTATTTGGAATATATGGAACCATCTGAGGTGTATCAGAAATATGAGGAATCATCAGAGCTGTATTTGGAATAGGAACCATTTGTGTTATATTTGTCACTGATAGTTATGTCACTTTGTTCTAATTTAAAGGGGATCTAGGCTCGGCTAATTGACAGTCCTACCCACAAGGTTTAATGATTCTTTCTTGGGGTGCTAGTTTTAGAATGTATACCATTTGAGCAGTTACTGACGACACTAACTATACTGAAACAATGTCATGGTATTAGTTACGATGTCTTCATGGCAGAAAATAGGCACCAGACATTGGCGCTTAGTCTTTTGACAACATTGTAGCTTAAGAGTCCATACTGCCTGCTGTGTTGTATGATAATCTGTGTGTCATGCTCATTTAGAGAAGCGGACATTACTAATGGTTTTGCAGATTCACATTAATGGAAGAATGTCTTGAAATAACACAAGGAATTAAATTTGGTTGGGTAGAATGGTTGATGATGTTGTATTGACCACAATTGAGTAGCACAATCACCCAGGGCAGCTTGATTCTCTTGTATGAGACTGCCTCCATGGTCAAGTGGATAGAGGTTCTGCCTGGAGAACAGAAGATCGGTGGTTCAATCCCAAGCCATGTCGTAACAAAATACGTTAAAGGAAGGTACCTGTCACCGGTTCATCATTAACTTGATAAAACAAAGACTGGTTGGCTCGAAGTCAGTATGATATAACTGAAACAAGCTAAGCCATGTTAAACCCATTCATTCACTCACTGTTAATTCAGTGCTTTTCGTCCTTGTATTGACCTATTTCAGTTGTTTCATCTTGGAACTATTAGAGAGTATCATCTTTTCTGGAGTGCATATGCCAGGGCTTGCACACTGTAGCATGGCTTGTTGATGTGCCGTTGTGGTAGATTTGTGTTCTGTCGGTTGTAACATGTTTGCCCAAAAGCTGTTCTTTCAACATTTTGTTGTAATAGATTCTCTACTCACGCATAACTCATTCATGCTCATTCAGACTGGTGAGGAGCGGTCGGGTAGCCTAGTGGTTTTAACGTTTGCTCGTCACACCGAAGACCCGGGTTTGATTCCCGACATGGCTACAATGTGTGAAGCCCATTTCTGGTGTCCCACGCCGTGATATTGCTGGAATATTGCTAAAAGCGTTGAAAACCATACTCACTCACTCACTCATTCAGACTATTAGTTAAAGCGTTAGCTTGTTACACCAAAAGCCCGGGTTCAATTTCCCACATGGGTATGATGTGTTATCCCATTTCTCGTGTCCCAACTGTAATATTGCTAAAAGTGGCGTAAAACCATACTCACTCATTCATGATTCCTTATGCCAGACTCTGTATCGTGCGGATTTTGAGAAGAGCAAAAGTGACTATACTACGGTTGTAGATCCCCTCCACCTGAAGAAATGCCTTGAAAACACCAGGAATCTAAGTGCGGTATGATGCAGTGGTGCCAGATATATGTTGTGGTGTTTGTGTGAAGTCAGTATATGTAGTCCACTGTCTCAAGTCACAATTGGGTGGTTGGCCATCACAGGGCAAGTTTCAAATCCAAATATGGAATGTATTATGTACTTATCAAAAGTTTTTTGGCTACTAACTGTTATCATGATCATAATTCATATGATTGCTGATCTGTTTTCAACATCACTGGAAACATATGAGAGGCTCAGCTGTTGTTGTTTGAAAGCACTTGGTGTGCGACATGTGTATTTGTATGGTGGTTGACTGGAATAAGACTTGAATGTTTTAGCACACTGTAGCATTGTTTGTTACCATGATATTACGGTAGGTATAAGCTGTTGGTGGATATCAAAGTTATCACATGTCAGTGAAAGGTTCATTTCTGATTGATTTCCTTGTGCCAGAGTGCCTACCATGCTGATTTTGAGAGGACGAAAAGTGACTATACTACGATTGTGGATCCCCTGGTCATGAAGAAATGTCTTGAGAGTACCAAGAATCTTAGCGTGGTATGATAAAGTTCAATTAGCACGTCACTGTTGTGTTGTCGAAGTTACATCAGAAATCTGCTCACAAGTTTGTTTACGTAGCAGAGTCTTGTTGCATCTACAAAATCATTCACATTTTCAAGAATTTTGTCCTGCAATGACCTCTTAAAATAATTATTCCGAGTCATGAAAGCTAGATATTTGCTGTTATTGGGGATGGTGGAGGGAATATTGGTTGTTTAAGTGCTTGCTTGTCGAGCCAAAAATCACAGATTAGTACAAGAGCTGGCACACTGTAGAATGGCTTCTGTTGCTGATGTGAAGAAGGTTTGGAGTCAACCAGGAGTTTGACGCAGGTTGTGAGATAATACAACAGGAACAGATTAATAACATATGGGTTTCCTTGTGCCAGAGTGCCTACCATGCTGATTTTGAGAGGACGAAAAGTGACTATACTACGGTTGTGGATCCCCTGGTCATGAAGAAATGTCTTGAAAGTACCAGGAATCTTAGTGCGGTATGATGCTGTTCTATTGGCACGTCGCTGTTGTGTTGTCGTAGTTTAGATTTGGTATCGCCATGTCTCCAGTGCCCATATTGTCTGAAGCAGAGTCTTGATGCATCTACAAAATCATTCACATTTTCAAGAAATTTGTCCTGCAATGACCTCTTAAAATAATTATTGAGAATCATGAAAGGTAGATATGTGTTGTCAAGCCAAAAAACTCAGTCCAGTCAAAGTCAGGCACACTGTAGCATGGCTTCTGTTGCTGATGTGAAGAAGGTATAGACTCAACCAGGAGTTTGTTAGATAATACAACATGAACAGATTGATAAAAGATTAATAACATATGGGTTTCATTATGTCAGAGTGCCTACCATGCTGATTTTGAGAGGACGAAAAGTGACTATACTACGATTGTGGATCCCCTGGTCATGAAGAAATGTCTTGAAAGTACCAAGAATCTTAGCGTGGTATGATGAAGTTCAATGAGCACCTAGCTGTTGTTTTGTTGTAGTTAGATCAGAAATCTGCTAAAGTCAAATTTTGATTTGGGATCGCCTTGTCTCAGTTTCTTATATTGCCTGATGCAGAGAATTAGTGTTTCTACCAAACCTCTTGAAACAATTTGAGAATCATTAAAGACAACTTTATTCTGTTCTTAAGGGTGTATTGGGTCTGGTGGTTAAAGTGTTTGTTTGTCGTGTCGAATCCTATTTTTGATTCCCCAATGGGAATATTGCTAAAATAGTGTAAAACGTCACTTAACGTGTTCTGAAAGACTTGTTCAAGAGCTTGCACACTGTTGCATGGCTACTTTCGCTGATGTGTTCGTGGAGTTGGACCTAGATGGTTTCAACCACTTAAATAAATCTTATAACAGATTGGTTTACTTGTGCCAGAGTGCCTACCATGCGGATTTTGAGAAGACCAAAAGTGACTACACTACGGTTGTGGATCCCCTGGTTATGAAGAAATGTCTTGAAAGTACCAAGAATCTAAGTTCGGTATGCAGCGTAGTTTGTTTAGTAGATGTTGTGATGTCTTGTAGAAACTTAGCCGTAGAAGTAGTTGCACTGTCACTAGGATATTGGGCCAAAATAAGACGAGGCTTCATTTGCAAATATGGGCACATTGTATACTGCTCAATATTGCTGCCACTCCTTGTTCACTTGCGGACTTTGTTGGTGTTGAGATGCATGTCGAGGGAATCTTTAAAAGTTCAAAGGATAATATCAACTTTCTCAAAAGCTTATTCAAGAGCTTGTAGCATGGCTTGTAGATGTAGCATTTGGTCAATTGGGTGACCTTGTGGTTAAACATTCACACGGGAACATTGATTTACCAGTTCGATACAACGTGTGAAGCCCATATTTGGTTCCCCCACAGTGATATTGCTCGAATAGTACTTAGTGGCTGAAAACTCTAGCCTGTAATGCATCAATTGGTAGTTCAGTTGTTAAAAGTCTGTCAGGCTTAGGAAGCCGAGTTTGTTCTTTCAATGTTTTTGAACCAGATTAATTTCTGATTGGTTTCGTTGAGCTAGACTCGGTACCATGCTGATTTTGAGAGGACCAAAAGTGACTATACTACGGTTGTGGATCCCCTGGTCATGAAGAAGTGTCTTGAGAATACCAAGAATCTTAGTGCGGTATGGGGTAAACCCTTGTGTTGTGTTGTGATAGCTGTAGATTTCAGTAGGAAGGAATTAAAGGTGTTTTAATTGTGTGCTTTGAATACTCTATAGGAATTGCTCACCAGTTTAAATTAACATGTACTGGGAATCCTAAGTTGTTGAAAAAAAAGACAAAATATTTGGTCCGTCCACCTTGTCTAGTCTAAACAGGAAGTAGGTGTCCAAGCTTGCTGCAGTTCATCTGATGAAGGTTTTAATGTCTAATTTGTTACTGTTAGAATGTGTACCATGCTGACTTCGAGAAGACCAAGGGAAACTACACGACGGTGGTTGATCCCATGTCGGTCAGGAAATGTCTTGAAAACACAAAGAACCTTAGCACGGTATGGTTGATGATGATAAATATGATATTAAAACCCTTTAAAAAATGCTGCTTTATTGTGTCTCATGTAATCTCTGAGATAAAATACTTTTGATGTATGATGAATTTTGAAGATTTGTCTCTTAACCTGTATGAGACAAACATATAACCATTTTATTTGCCATCAGTGCAAAGTATATTATCTCTCAGCTTCTGGTAACGAAACTAAAACATTTACTTTTTGTTTGTCAGTACTCAGTAAAACCTGATAGAGCGTCAGCCTGGTGGTTTGATCCACAGCTGTGTCATACCAAAAGACAGTAAAAGATGGTACTTGTTGTTATCCTGGCATTCTGTGAAGGGGATAAAACAAGGACTGGCCAGCTATACAAGTCTAGATAATCTGTTTGCATGTAATAAATGTGTGTTTTACATAAGTCATGAACATGAATTATTCATCATCAATTCCCAGACTCAGTACAAGAAAGACTTTCAGGAGTCCAAGGGCAAGGTCAAGTCTATTGCTGACCCTTTGACCCTCAAAACTGCCATGGCTGCCACCAAGAATGCTAGCTTGGTATAAAGATATTCTTCAAGCATGTTAAATTATTGTGAAATAAATGTAATAACTATGATTAACAATGTTGTGTTATTTTGTTTCAAATGAACAACTTCTTTTTACAAGTCAGTTCCTTTGGTTTCAAGGGATATACAAATCTAACACGATTGACTGAGTATTTGCAGACTTAACATTGAATAATTTGCTTGAATAATCAGGAACTAGAATAAGAACTGGAACCAGTAATGGCATGTGATTGTGAATAAAACTGCTTCACTAATCACCAACTTACTTTGCACATTCAGTGGTTGTCATATTTTGGCTTTAAGTTGAAAATGATTCTATTTGCACTTCATATTTATATGCTAAAATTCACTCACATCATAGACTGTTGTGCAAGTGACCATGGCATACAGGCCCATTCACTAACTCACTGTCAGTAAGTCTGCATGGCTTGTATCACATTATGATGTTGCTTCTGAAGCCAGTATCTGCATGGTATAATTCTTCTTACAATCTTCCTGCAATTGATGGCTGTATTAAAATGGGGGCGGTCGGGTAGCCTAGTGGTTAAAGTGTTCGCTCGTCACGCCGAAGACCCGGGTTCGATTCCCGACATGGGGACAATGTGTGAAGCCCATTTCTGGTGTCCCCCGCCATGATATTGCTGGAATATTGTTAAAAGCGGTGTAAAACAAAACTCATTCAAACTCACTGTATTAAAATGCATGAACAGGGCATTTTGTCCCTGTTATAAGTAATCTGTAATGCTTTTGTCACTCAGCATGGGGAATTTGTGCTGATATTGCTCAGTAATCTGTGACTCATGTTGAAAGGGAAGGTCAATATTTATCATTATATGACTGATCGGAGTAAATTAGATGAAATATGTCAGAAATTACATGGATGAAAAATATCTGTTTATGTTCTTGGCCAAGCACTTATAAATGGGGATTGAAAACTTATTCATGTTTTCATCTCATAACAGATATGCGAGACAGTAATTGAAGCTTATACTAATGCAACTAAGTTTTTACAAGCACAGAATTCTAGATTTTATGAGATGATGGCATGGATTGTTGCTCATAATATCAGTCACTGGTCTGTCTTGCCCAGACTGGATTATTTACAGTCCACTGTCATGATGCTGGAATATTTCTGAGCATGTAACCGAACAAAATACTGGTGGTACATTTTGAGCCATAAATGAAAGAATATTTATTAATATGAGCGGAATGTTTATATAAGGGTCATTTACCAAGGTCTCCTCAGCTACTAGCCATTGTAAGCATGCATGTTTATGTAGTAGTGACACAAATTACTAATATCTAATAAGATGTGTCTATGTGTAGATTGTAATAGTGTATGAAAGGTACATATGTCAGTATGCAATATGGGCACATGGAATTATTACTGGGACAATAGAATTCACAGGAGTCAATTTGAATATACAGTGGTCCCTCGCTACAATGCTTCCAATGGGGTCCAAATAATTGGTGGGCGTTATAGACGATGAGCCTTTTAACCGAGGCCGAGGCGGGGGAGCGCGCTCGACCAATCTCACGATCTTCGCCTTGTCTCGAACATTGCAATGATACAAGTTGTTTACCGTTCATAGTGTAAAAATATATATCCATTATGTTTTCGCCGTTTGTTATTATTTACAAGCCTTAACTGTCACATTCAATGTGAATGTAGTCTACTTACATGAAAATATCGATCGATAATGGTAGTAACAGACGCTATGAGTGAAGAGCCAATCACAATCCATTACACAAGTACAGAGTGTTTCAGTGGCATTGATTGGTCATGTTGCTTAAAATACGGAAAACGAGAGTTTTGACCAGCACTACGCGCATTTATACACATTCATACAAATATAGATACACATTCAAGACAGATTAATTGATTTGATACAGTTACTTGATCCGAATCAAAAGGAATGACCGCCGTATTGTGACAGCAACTACATGTGTTTTGACAGTGTCACCTCAAATTGGATTGCCCACTAATTAAGAATATAAACTTCGCTTGTGGTTCTCTTTTATTGCATGCATGCGCTTCTAAGATCAAAGGATGTATAGTGTGAAAAGTTAATTAGTAGAACAATCGTATTTCCGGGACTTGCCGCTGATGTTTTCAAACAGATTATTAGAACTCCATTCAGCGATAAACGGTTGATTATGCAATGAGAAGCGTTATGTGCAAATGAACAACGAACAACAATACAATCATGTCTGTGTAAAACTCTCAGTATTAAAAGTGTACATAAATTTTGGGAGCCATGCGTTACCGCCGGTTGTAACCGAGGTAGGGCTTTATCGAAGAGCACAATAGCGAGGGATCACTGTACAATCAACCACTGAAATAGTTAAGCATTCTTCAGAAATATGATACAGACATTGATAGATATTTCAGGATTGTTTCTTTATCTTAAAATGTGAAAGACAGACTATCATTCAAAGATTTTTCAACCCTGTTAATCCGTTTCCAATAAATGCATGAAGATAGGTGATTGTATGCCTTGTATACATATGGAGTTTTATCATATCGGTCTCATGTTCATATTAGATATCTGTACAAAGAATCCATGTATAAATGTGGTTTCTGTGGTCCGATTGTTCACTTTAGAATGTTTGTATTATAAAGGTTCGATACCACAGTGACTTTGAGAAGGAGAAATCTCACTATACTGTGGTTGCCGACCCTCTAGAGATGCAACGCCATAAGGACAACCAGAAAAACATCAGTGGGGTAATGCCATATCTCACTTCTCCATACAACATTCCCATGGGGATTAGCAGTTAGAATTGGTCCCCGGGAACCAACGTAAGAGGGGACCAAATGGATCAAGTGGTCGGGTTCAGCTGGATGATTCAAGTCATCGTACCCCAATGTTTGGATCGTTGCTCATAATATCAATCTCTAGGTTGTCTGGTCCAGACTTCATTATTTACATGCTGCCATCATATGGCTGGAATATTGTTGAAGAGTGGCATTAAACAGCAAAAGATTTTAAGGAAACTGAATGATACTTCCCTTATCCCACAGTTAAGCAATATTGCCATCACAGATGTCAATCCTGTTGGTCAATTATTCTAATATTATTTCTCAAGGAATAATTCTCACTATTTTGAGGGAGTTTAGCTTCAGATTATGTCTTTGTGAATAGTGTATGTATTTCAAACTGATATTGCATTTTTAGGAATTTGATTATGGTTGGTAATAGAATGTGATAGTTCTGTAGTTATATCTTAACATCCTTCTCCCATGCTTTTGTTCAATGATTTAACCATATTTGTTTCGTAAACCCTTTCCACTATCCCATAGTTATTTCCTGCTTAAATAATTATTAATGCTTAGTTCACCTATGTTAATATGGTTAACCTTTATTTATTTTATCTAACAGGTTGAATATCACAAAGATTTTGAGCATACGAAAAGTCAATACACAACAGTTGCCGATTCTGCCGATATGAAGCGCCACCAATCTAATCAGAAAATTCTGAGTGCGGTATGATCGTACATACGGCAAGTGATTGAATGTAGCCAACCCTCGCATCAGACTGACATCACATAATACCCTGGATTGCCAAATAGTTTTGTTACGTGTGCATATCTTGAAAATTAAAACCTGAATCTTTTGTTTGCATTTTTGTGTCAAACTTGATTTCTTTTGGACTTTCAGAACCTATTTTGAATCTTTTGCTCAAATCTTTCTTTTGAAATACTTATCTTTATTTTCAGAAGAGGTACATATTTGTTTGTTCATTTTGAGTTAATCTGATTTCTTTGTTACTTATTTGTTTCTTTCCTTCCTTTCATATATTTTGTTTGCTAACATTTGATAGAAGTTCTTTTTAAGGTAGTGTAGGTCACATACTAAACATGTATACTCTGTGTCTTAACACCATTATTAATAATCTGTTATGTAGCTCAGTTGTCATTAACATTAATACAGGGATGAGAATATATGTGCATGATTGGATATATATTAGGTTATATCCAATGGCTCCAGGATTGCCCTTGGAACCTTCTTCTGGCAGGATGGCATTGTTGGAGAATATATCATCTTGTTAACCAATCAGATCCAGGTCACCCTGAAGGTAGTTGTTGGAGAATATATCATCTTGTTGACCAGTCAGATCCAGGTCACCCTGAAGGTAGTTGTTGGAGAATATATCATCTTGTTGACCAGACAGATCCAGGTCGCCCTGAATGTAGTTGTTGGAGAATATATCATCTTGTTGACCAGTCAGATCAAGGTCACCCTGAAGGAAGTTGTTGGAGAATATATCATCTTGTTAACCAATCAGATGCAGGTCACCCTGAAGGTAGTTGTTGGAGAATATATCATCTTGTTAACCAATCCGATCCAGGTTGCCCTGAAGGTAGTTGTTGGAGAATATATCATCTTGTTAACCAATCAGATCCAGGTTGCCCTGATGGTAGTTGTTGGATAAATATATCATCTTGTTAACCAATCAGATCCAGGTCACCCTGAAGGTAGTTGTTGGAGAATATATCATCTTGTTAACCAATCCGATCCAGGTTGCCCTGAAGGTAGTTGTTGGATAAATGTATTATCTTGTTAACCAATCAGATCCAGGTTGCCCTGAAGGTAGTTGTTGGAGAATATAACATCTTGTTAACCAATCAGATCCAGGTCACCCTGAAGGTAGTTGTTGGAGAATATATCATCTTGTTAACGAATCCGATCCAGGTTGCCCTGAAGGTAGTTGTTGGAGAATATATCATCTTGTTAACCAATCCGATCCAGGTTGCCCTGAAGGTAGTTGTTGGATAAATGTATTATCTTGTTAACCAATCAGATCCAGGTTGCCCTGAAGGTAGTTGTTGGAGAATATATCATCTTGTTAACCAATCAGATGCAGGTCACCCTGAAGGTAGTTGTTGGAAAATATATCATCTTGTTAACCAATCCGATCCAGGTTTCCCTGAAGGTAGTTGTTGGAGAATATATCATCTTGTTAACCAATCCGATCCAGGTTTCCCTGAAGGTAGTTGTTGGAGAAATGTATTATCTTGTTAACCAATCCGATCCAGGTTTCCCTGAAGGTAGTTGTTGGAGAATATATCATCTTGTTAACCAATCAGATCCAGGTCACCCTGAAGGTAGTTGTTGGAGAATATATCATCTTGTTAACCAATCCGATCCAGGTTGCCCTGAAGGTAGTTGTTGGATAAATGTATTATCTTGTTAACCAATCAGATCCAGGTTGCCCTGAAGGTAGTTGTTGGAGAATATAACATCTTGTTAACCAATCAGATCCAGGTCACCCTGAAGGTAGTTGTTGGAGAATATATCATCTTGTTAACGAATCCGATCCAGGTTGCCCTGAAGGTAGTTGTTGGAGAATATATCATCTTGTTAACCAATCCGATCCAGGTTGCCCTGATGGTAGTTGTTGGATAAATGTATTATCTTGTTAACCAATCAGATCCAGGTTGCCCTGAAGGTAGTTGTTGGAGAATATATCATCTTGTTAACCAATCAGATCCAGGTCACCCTGAAGGTAGTTGTTGGAGAATATATCATCTTGTTAACCATTCCGATCCAGGTTTCCCTGAAGGTAGTTGTTGGAGAATATATCATCTTGTTAACCAATCCGATCCAGGTTTCCCTGAAGGTAGTTGTTGGAGAATATATCATCTTGTTAACCAATCAGATCCAGGTTGCCCTGAAGGTAGTTGTTGGAGAATATATCATCTTGTTAACCATTCCGATCCAGGTTTCCCTGAAGGTAGTTGTTGGAGAATATATCATCTTGTTAACCAATCCGATCCAGGTTTCCCTGAAGGTAGTTGTTGGAGAATATATCATCTTGTTAACCAATCAGATCCAGGTTTCCCTGAAGGTAGTTGTTGGAGAATATATCATCTTGTTAACCAATCAGATCCAGGTTGCCCTGAAGGTAGTTGTTGGAGAAATGTATTATCTTGTTAACCAATCAGATCCAGGTTGCCCTGAAGCTAATTGTTGAAGAAGTGTAGTTGTTAGCCAGTGAGATACCAAGCAGAGATATTTGACTGCAAAAAGTAAATGTGAATAGGTTCATGCAGGTGTAAAGGATTTGTGTGTATGTTGTTGTTCAATTAATGCCAGGCATTGATGCTGGACTTTGTCAGACCATGCTGTAACATTACTGATGCAGAAAAATGTAACTCACTCACTCACTCAACTCATACAGACGTGTGACTGTGATACACTCATATACACATGGATAGTCGGTCCTGGACCAGGGTCAAGATCAGATTTGATATTTTGAGAAAATACTGAGAATTGCCCTAAATGTTGTGACAAGGAATTCATTGTGATGATACTTTTCTTAAAGCGGACTGTTGCCTCTGCTAACTCATTCGCTCACTCTTTCAAAGTGACTTTTTGTTTGGAAGTGAACCTTTTAAGATCACGGTATAATTTGTATGAGATGTATTACTGTGTAGGGATATCCCCCTAGAAACCTGACTCAGCTGAAATGATTCTCATCCCTGAAAGCGTGACTGGTGTGATTAGTGTCCTGTCGTTGATGTAGATTGACTTACTCTATATTATTATTTGTTATTTTGTTATTGCTGTTATTTATTGAATTGTCATTTCAAAATTTCAAAATCATTCTGCCAATCTTGGATAAGTGTTTGAAATGCTTCAACATGTGTTCTCAGTTGTGTATGTTTGTCCAATAATTCTGTTATATAATGCTAGAACTGATCTTTGTGATCGTTAAGATGTTCTTAATGGCAGCATGGAATCTCTACGGGTTCACAGTGTAGATAACATGTGCCTACACAGACTTATGTCATAAGCTCGGCTTCTTCCCCAATAATTTTGTGTGGCAGTTACGCATCCAAGATGTACGCTTTTCTTCGCTTGATATGAGCATGTGTTCTAGTTTGCATTCTTGTGTTTTCTGGACTTCGGATTTAAATGTAATGAGTATCATTGTAATTCATAGACTTATTTGTAGGTTAACTTACGAGTTAAATGACTCATTCTTAAACATAATCTTCTTCATGATGTTAAAATCTTCCATCTGTAAATTGATGCTGATATAAGTATATTTACATATTTGATTTTTTGTGATTACATATATACATCATGTTTATCATGATGTAATAGTATTTGTCATGATGTAAGAGTATTTTGGAAAGATGCTTGATGTGTCCTGTTCTTAATGGTTGTGCTCTGAAGACAAGTGAAGCATCCTCCATTATCTGGGGTATTCCATCTTTGCTTCTGTAGCGGCAGTACAGCTTCCATCGCTCCTATCTCTAGCACAAATTAGCACAGGATTTCTCTAACAGTGCAAAATTTCTCTCATTTATAGGGATTTGATTGGATGGCTATTTTTAGCCTCGTGTTATTGCAAATCGGCTCAAAAACATAGCTAATCGGCCCAGGGTATTAAAGGGTGACTTTGCTCCACAATCTGGTGCAATTTTTGGGTCTACATCCAGACATTGTACTTGTGTCAAACTAGGAGTGTCTGAGGGTGATTATTGACATTTGAGTGTAACCCGGTCTTCAGCAACCCATGCTTGCTGTAAGGGGTGACTTTGCTTGTCGTAAAAGGCCACTAACGGGATCAGGTGGTCAGACTCGCTGACTTGGTTGATACATGTCATCGATCCCAATTGCGTGGATCGATGCGCATGATGTCAATCACTGGATTGTCTAGTCCAGATTTAATTATTTACAGACCGCCGTCATATAGCTGGAATATTGCTGAGTGCGGCGTTAAACAACAAACAGACAGTCAGACATTTGAGTGTGCAGCCATACATTTTGGGTTTGGAATGACTTTAATTGACTTTAAATGAAGATAAAATTTGCTGGGACTGCCAATTGGTCTGAACCTGTAAGCCAAATAGAGCGGAGATATAATACCCTGGATACTGGAGGATGGATGATCGATCGGAGTGACGATGATCCAGGTGCATCTTGTGGCTATTATTGTATAGGTGGAGTACCACAGTGAATTTGAGAAGGGCAAGATGTCTGTGAACATGCCAGCTGATGCCCTCGATTTCAAACGAAGTATGACCAATCAGAAACTGGCTAGTGAGGTATAATTACTGCTGTTAATTAGACGCAAAAATATAATTTATCTGTCTTCTGCTGATGTAAACAGATTTCTGGAGTTAAAAGTTTATAAGACAAGTTCTAATCCGTAAGTAGTAATAGAATATATTGAAATGCCATTTTTTATGCAAATAGCATGACTGGAGTTTGAAGCATGGGTGGCACAGTGGTCCCTGTAAAGAGTTGCTTGGAGGATATTCTGATCATGGGTTCAAATCCCAAATCCTGATCTGCCCTGAAACCTAGGTTTGTCAGCACCATACCTGTGCTTGTGGGTCTCGCCCAAGTGCTGAACGTATTTGAGCTGTGTCATTTAGACTTGCTCCCACATCACACTGACATGCCATGCTATAACTGAAATACTGTTGAAACAGTGTTGAACCAAACTCACTCACTCACTCCACAATTTACTCCTAAACTGTATCAATGAAATAAGGATTTTTCACTTGTAATCCATAAAGTACTATGCAAACAATTTGTTTCTATATCTGAAAATCGTCAAAATATTGTCAAATATTAAAGGAATTTAAGATGACAAGCAATGCAAAATTTCTACCGTCTTGTATGCGTCCTATCAGGTAGACTATCACAAAGACTTTGAGATGTCCAAGAGCAAATACACTCAAGTGGCCGACACTGTGGAGATGAGGCGCCACCAGGGGAACAAACAGATTCTGAAGGGGGTAGGATGGGCGACCATTGTTGGCATCGTGCAGGCATCATGCTGGGGCTGCATTCTCTGATTGTTGTTGCGTTATTAACAATGCCCTAACATTGTTATGTGAAGAGTGGCCTTGATAGGAGGGATCTGACTGCAGTGGGGTATATTGAGGTGGTTGTACTTCATGGGTAAATAACCCTTTTCTCAAACACTGAATGAGAAAAGCTCGTTTTCATGACTGATTCAGCAATTGAAAACTGATCTGGTAATATTGGTATTTGGGAGGCGGTGTGAATGTTTTGTTAATTGTTTACTCCATGGCAGCAACATGAGACAGAAAACTGTTTTTTCAGGATTTGTTTTTACATTCTTTTAACCTAATTTGCTGATGTCAGCACTTAGTGTTGTACCTTGTTTGAATGCAGTGTCCCTGCAGCGATGAGCAATAAACACAGCATCGAACACGGAGATGATACTGATGCTGAATGTAAAAAAATGTATTGCCATACTACAGGAATCTTTGAAAGAATCTTGCTGCCAATACATAACAAATATCTTCTTACAAAATCATCTTGCAAATAAAATACTGAAACCCTTTCCATATTAATAAGAAATGTCTAAAAGTGGATTCCATTATACAATTCTATCACGAGCATATGTTTATGAATCACTATCAAATAGTGATGACACCAGGTTTTCGCAAAAACGTGTGCGTATCCTGCCTCACTGGTGACTCCTATCACAAACACATGCAAAGGCAAGTCAATTATTCACCTGAAAAAACAACATGGAAACATTTGGTGTAATGGAAAAAGGGAATTGCATTGAACATCATTTTTGTCACTGATACATCAGATTTGGAAATGTCCTCCCCATGTCTACAAAAAAACATTTTGAAAACTTTGCTGAGGCCTTGAATGTTTCAAAACATCGGACCAAGACTTGTGATTTGCTTCACACTTTGCTGGGGCATGATGGTTTGTGGTCAAAGGGGTAGAGTTGGTGGGTGCCTGATAAAAAACAACATTTCGCTACCATCGGGCGATAACTCACTAACTTGTGGTTGTTTGTGTGTATCTTTGGAACAATCTGATATGGCATCCCTAAGTCTGAAATTATTGTACAATGATTTACAGAATTTTGGTTACATTTGTTTACAGATTTTTCAGTGAGATCTGGCCAAACGAGCCCTTGTTAGCCATGTAATAAATAGTGATATTGCCAACCTGAAATACTGCTTATTTTGGAAAGGTTATTAATGTTTTTTTGTTATGTATGTTGGGGATGTCTGACTGTCAGTGTATCATGGCCGTCATCAAAGTGCAGTGTGATTTTGGCACCATGCCTTTTTCTTGGCGTCACTTACCAGCAAGTCTTTGTTGTTTTCCAGCACTAAAGAAATGACTGATGGCATTAATTGTGGATACGTTTGTGTGCTTTCTTTTGTTTATAATACTTTGAAAGAAAAAAAAAGCTTATGTGTGTTCTTTTCTTTCTGAAGTGAAGGATTTTGTGATATAAATTGATAGGTGTTCATTAGCCTTGCTCTAAGGCTGTACTGAATTGTAACTGCATGGACAGTAATTCTATCCTTATATGTATAAAACACAAGTCTAGATAAGTCAACAGTTCTAAGGTTGCCATTCTAGTACAAAAACATGTTTCCAGTCTTTTAAAGGGACAACTTTTTCGTATTATTTAGGAATTATAATTTAAATTAAAACATATTTCTTCAGAGACTTATGCAAGTCTAGGTTTACATTTCATGGTGATTTTTCCATGGTTGCTGAATCAGTGACTATACTTCACTCCAGAAGTTTAAAATAGAGATTATTTGTTAATTTTAACATTTGTTTCTTACTGCATTGTCAGTTGGTTTGTGATTCATGTGTTTCCCTGCTGTTGTCAGCACTTCTGTTGTATTAACCTGCATTGAACACTGAAACATAGTAAAAGCTGCATCTGAAATTACGCGATATAGGAATATATTATCCCTGATAAGATAGTTTCAGATAAAAAAAATTCCCATCATTGCATCAAAATCCTTAATGCTTGCCTTAAAAGGCGACAATGTTTGTTGTAAGAGGCGACTAGCGGGATCGGTAAGTTGTATTGTAATATGGGTGGAATATTGTTAAGAGCAGCGTAAAACCACACTCGCCCATTTTTTAATTGCAGTGCTCTGGAATATATACTGTCCTATTAATTTTGGAGTGATTAAGGGTAGCATCAGAATATATATTGAATCAAATTGATGGAGTTCGACGACAGTCCTGTGATTCGTTATTATACTCCATCAATGCTGTTATTTGAACATGCCAAAATATAGTTTTAAACCAAACTTGGTGTGTTATCCCTGGCAACCAGACTTAATGGGATATTGTGACTTGATCTGTCGGAGTGGACATATGTAAAACAATGTTTGAAATAAAGGCGGTGGAATTCTTGAGGTATGCTCCGATAGTATTTGATTCTAAATCTTCAACTTTTAACATGAGAGTTGTGACAAGGACCCCTTGACTTTCATGCTTAATTTCGAACTCTATAAAGTGACCCGGTACCATCACAAGCCTTCCAGAAACTATTACTGGACCTAAAAAATTCTTCATTGGAAACAAAATTTGGTTGACAATTCCTACTGGGGATTTAGCTCAAAATAAGTATCTAACATTAACAAAAACATCCGCTTCTTCACTGTTGCATGATGTGTAGTTTTGGTAGATCTGAGTAGATCTGTGAAATACAATAACAGAATATTGATTGGTTGCTACTAATATTGATGTGTCTGCTTATTGTATATTTGATACAGATGTAGGAAATGAAAAACATTAAGCAATGAACAGTAACCAACCAATAGTATAATAAGAAAATCTTAAGTGAACTCAATTTTTCCGAAGTCATTGATTAGAGTTCCTTGAAGAGCAAATTGATGTGATAAAGTTAAAGTCAAGAAAATAATTGATGGGAGATGGAATACAAGAAAACACAAGTCTTAATACTTGTAGGCTTCTTGCTTACAGGTGGCTCCACAACCCTCCCAACCCACACCTCAATCTCCCACTCCTCAATCCCCCACTCCTCAATCCCCCACCCCTCAATCCCCAACCCAATTACTACAAGAACCCAAACTTGGAGCTCCTAAACAGGTGCCCAAACAATCTCCCAAACAACTTCCTGAGGAGCCACCCAAACAGCTCTCTCAAGCGCCTACTAAAGTAGTTTCACAGAAACCAGTTAAAGCGGTTCCTCAAGAACCAGTTAAAGAGGTTCCTCAAGAACCAGTTAAAGAGGTTCCTCAAGAACCAGCTAAGAAGGTTGCAGAAGAACCAGCTAAGAAGGTTGCAGAAGAACCAGCTAAGAAGGTTGCAGAAGAACCAGCTAAGAAGATTGCACAAGAACCAGCTGAAAAGGTTGCAGAAGAACCTGTGAACAAGGTTCCTCAAGAACCAGTTAAAGAGCTTCCTCAAGAACCAGTTAAAGAGGTTCCTCAAGAACCAGCTAAGAAGGTTGCACAAGAACCAGCTGAAAAGGTTGCAGAAGAACCTGTGAACAAGGTTCCTCAAGAACCAGCTGAAGAGCTTCCTCAAGAACCAGCTGAAGAGCTTCCTCAAGAACCAGCTAAACAGGTTGCAGAAGAACCTGTGACCGAGGTTCCTCAAGAACCAGCTAAAAAGGTTGCAGAAGAACCTGTGACCAAGGTTCCTCAAGAACCAGCTGAAGAGCTTCCACAAGAGCCTCCAAGTGAGGCTGTGGAGCAGCAATGACTGGCTGGACTTGTTATCTGCCTCCTGTATGGACAACTGACCTCTGCTACGGTATGTCCTGAGGGACTCGTCAATATTTATCATAGGGATGGGGTTCGGGCGGAGATTCCCATCCAAAGCAATTGTCTAAATGTACTACTCAAAGAAATTAAAGAACACAAATGTTTTCATATGACTATAGTTAATCCGTCATGATATGAATCTGGTGTTTCAACTTCTTTGAGTAGTACATGTCACAGTGGAATTTTCCTTCTGCACATGTCCTCAACGGAGCATTGTGATGAAACATATTTTTAAAAGAAAAACATAAATTAAGTAAACATTCTATTGTGTCCTGTGTCAAATTGAGTAATTGTTTTTCAAACCTGCTTCTGATTTTCTCCGCCCCACCCCTTCCCTCAATATGTGGTAGGTATTTAAGTGTACAGTGATGAGTATTGAGATACACAACTCTTTGTGGATAGGACACATTGATTTACAAGGTACCCCAATATATTTTAAGGAGCGTTTAGGTCTTTAATGAACAGATGCCAAATGGGGATTCTAATTCTGTGGAAAGATTGAACTATACAGATTTGTGTATCAGAACACATAGGCTGTGCAAATCCTGTATAAAAATGCATATGGCATTATGTTGCTTTTAAAAGCCTTGCTCTGATTGGTCATTATGTCTAGTTGCTAGGATACTACATGTAGATATGACACACTTTTAATGTGACTGTGCCACCACTATATTAATTTGTGTTTATTAGCTGAGTACAAGTGGTATTTTGTTATTATTTATGTGATTATCATACATCTTGCTGACTTGATGAGAGTCTTCCAACAACAAAATATTTAGAGATATTATTGTTTTGGTCTTCTGCTGGCAAACTCATGTGAAATAATGCATCTATAATTGTATATTTTGAGAACCTGATTTCTTTCTTGCAATTTTCTACAAGTGTACACAGTTTATGTACACCATATTTAATATATTTTCTTTTTCTTTCTAATGTGCGTGAGTTTTTCTTTCTTTCAGTCCTGTTCAAGACTGACATTTTCTTCTCCTAATAATGACCACTGTTCCTTTTCAGAATCCTAGTACCATGTACTTTTCAGACTTTTCAGACTTCAGTTGTCAGAAACATTTGGTATTATTACTGAGAATCCTTTGTGATTGCTCAATAAGTATCTTGAATATTTATGATAAAGCTGTGAAATTCATGTTGTTCACTGTTAAAACTTGTCTTTCAAATCACTTTGAATTTTTTTCTCGTTTCAAATAATGTACAAATTCAGTGTTTCAGCAGATAACTTGTCCTTTTATCTTTTCCTTCATTTTTGTCGTTTCCTACTTTTCAGATTAAGTACCATGAAAACTTTGAAAAAGAAAAAGGCAAAAAAATGTCTGTGGCTGACGACCCAGAAACCCAGCGCCTCAAGAAAAACATGCAGGTTGTGAGTAATGTGGCCTACCACAACACACTCCAGGAGAAGGCAAGGATGGAACAGAATCGACCTAACGAGGAGACGGATAACTTTGCAGGTAAACTCAAACAGAAAACTCTGAAACTGGTTGGAGGTTCTGTTTTCATTCCTTGACATTTTGGGGGATAATTAGGAAAAGTAGGTTCTCTGTTCCCCATGCTTATGAGTTTAGTGGTTTGAATCCCTCAATCGCCCTGGTAATAATTTTTGGTTTGTCTGCACCATACTCGTGCTTGAGGGTTTGATTAAGGGTGATCTCTGAGACCTACATTACTTTTTTCTCCAACATTATGTTGAAGTTTGATATTACTGAAATGTTGTTAAAGCAGCATTAAACACAATTAACTCATCCACAGCCCCTCTTGAAGATCTGGTCAATCTCCTGGCCTACAGGTCAGTTAAAGTCTCAGCCAGTAGCATTTTCAAGCAGCTCATCATTTATTTAGTTCTGTGTCCTCAGTTTCCTTTCTGAACCCAATTCACGTTCATCTTCAAAATCTCAAACAGTGAACTCCAGTCAGGTACAAATGTCTTAATTATCATGACATTTCGGGTACAATGTGTGAAGCCCATTTCTGGTGTCCCCTGCCCTGATATTGCTGGAATATTGCTAAAAGCGGTGTAAAACCAAACTCACTCACTATCATGACATTTGTCTTTTGTGAAAAGTGTCGACTTATGCCAGCAACATAGACTAAATAGCAAGGGCTACCTGGTACATTGCTTAAAAGTGTCTTGTAAAGATGGTCAGTATGATCAGTACTGATCCATTATCCCCAGTCCTTATATGATGCTGAACAAGGCACACTGTTGTGGAGTTCACTGTATCCGCCTCATCGGTCCATGGTGTTACATGTCATACACTATGCTGTTATTGCTGCATCAGCTTAAATACTGCCATTTTAAGTTGCTGTTTAATTCTTGTCATCTCATACCCCCTCCTCTGATCTCCGACAGAATACCCTGGGTCAGTGTAGAGTTTATGAAGGATGTGAAAATAAATGATTAATGTTGCAGAGAAGTCAAAATTTGAAACAGTATGTTATGTTTCCTTTGACCGACACTGGAACATGTTATAAATTTCAACACTTTTGTCTTTTCCTATAAATAAACACTGATCGAATCAGAACATGTTCCTTACATAACAATGATATGAGTGCAATTAACATTTGTCAGTCGTGGCTCTGTGTGAAACTGTCTAATCTCTCATACTAACCTGGTCAAGCCATCTTTGAAATGTTCTTTTGATGATGTTATTTAAATATCTTCTTCTCTATCTTTAAACGTTGCTTCAGTAACTGTGCCTGTTACTTAAGGAATGCGTTTGGATTGTGAAGTTTTAACACTTTTAAGATAACATTATTTGATGTCTTGTGTTAGTTGTGACTAAGACCCACAATCTGCCCACTGATGGTGCAATATGATTGGTGCTGACTCGATATTCTGTATCATTAGGTTGTTCTATCCCTACTGATCTTAAATCTTCAATGCCCTTTTTGGAGTCTTATCCTATATGCCATACCATTGGGAGGAGTACCATCACTACTGATCCTATATCCCCTACCATTGGGTGGTGTACCATCACTACTGATCCTATCATCTACCATTGGGTGGTTTACCATCACTACTGATCCTATATCCCCTCCAATTGGGTGGTTTACTATCACTACTGATCCTATATCCCCTACCATTGGGTGTAGCACCATCACTACTGATCCTATCATCTACCATTGGGTGGTTTACTATCACTACTGTTCCTATATCCCCTTCCATTGGGTGGTGTACCATCACTACTGATCCTATATCCCCTCCCATTGGGTGGAGCACCATCACTACTGATCCTATATCCCCTACCATTGGGTAGAGTACCATCACTACTGATCCTATATCCCCTACCATTGGGTAGAGTACCATCACTACTGATCCTACATCCCCTCCCATTGGGTCGTGTACCATCACTACTGATCCTATATCCCCTACCATTGGGTGGAGCACCATCACTACTGATCCTATATTCCCTCCCATTGGGTGGAGTACCATCACTACTGATCCTATATCCCCTACCATGGGGTGGAGTACCTTCACTACTGATCCTATATCCCCTACCATTGGGTGGAGCACCATCACTACTGATCCTATATTCCCCCAAGTGGGTGGAGCACCATCACTACTGATCCTATATTCCCTATCATTGGGTGGAGTACCATCACTACTGATCCTATAATCTACCTTTGGGTGGTTTACCATCACTACTGATCCTATATCCCCTCCAATTGGGTGGTGTACCATCACTACTGATCCTATATCCCCTCCCATTGGGTGTAGCACCATCACTACTGATCCTATCATCTACCATTGGGTGGTTTACCATCACTACTGATCCTATATCCCCTCCCAGTGGGTGGTGTACCATCACTACTGATCCTATCATCTACTATTGGGTGGTTTACTATCACTTCCGATCCTATATCCCCTTCCATTGGGAGGTTTACCATCACTACTGATCCTATATCCCCTACCATTGGGTGGAGTACCATCACTACTGATCCTATCATCTACTATTGGGTGGTTTACTATCACTTCCGATCCTATATCCCCTTCCATTGGGTGTAGCACCATCACTACTGATCCTATATTTCCTCCCATTGGGTGGAGTACCATCACTACTGATCCTATATCCCCTACCATTGGGTGGTGTACCATCACTACTGATTCTATATCCCCTCCCATTGGGTGGTGTACCATCACTACTGATCCTATATCCCCTACCATTGGGAGGTTTACCATCACTACTGACCCTATATCCCCTCCCATTGGGTGTAGCACCATCACTACTGATCCTATGTTCCCTCCCATTGGGTGGAGCACCATCACTACTGATCCTATATCCCCTCCCATTGGGTGGAGCACCATCACTTCTGATCCTATATCCCCTACCATTGGGTGGAGTACCAACACTACTGATCCTATCCCCTCCCATTGGGTGGAGGACCATCACTACTGATCCTATATCCCCTCCCATTGGGTGGAGTACCATCACTTCTGATCCTATCATCTACCATTTTGCTACAATGTTTAGTTTGGGTTCTGCTATGCTTGTTTGTGTTTTGCATGTACCCTCAACAGCTCGCAGGCGTGGTCACAAGAACCCAGGTAGCATAACTGACTATGTGCCCACCGCCGTGGCTACTCCCCCACAAAACCAACCCACCCATGTCTACAACTCTAAAGGAGAAGGTAAGAACAACAATAACAACAGTCACAACAACAGTAGTCTCAACAACAGTAGTGGAAGTTTATCCCATCTTCATGAATCTTATTTCTGAGATCTTGTTAATGTAATTATGGAACCATTTGTAAATTTATAGGTCATAAATGTTTTTTGACAATAGGAAAAATGTTTTTCAAAATCTTAGGTCTTGATTGTCTTATTACAACTGGACTAGAAACAAATTTTAGTATGATTGTAGATTTTATCAAATACATGATCAAAATTATGTAAGCAGTGGATATGGAGGGTTTTAGGGTATGTGTTCATTCTGAAGTATTACTTAAGGAAGTTATCTTCTTGCTTGATCCATTATCTAAACCCGATAATATCCTCTAAAGGTTAGGAATAAGTAAGACATTGTTTTTGTTGAAAATGTTTAGAGTATGGATTGCAGAAAGTTAGTAAAGTAGAATTGTGTTTTTAAAGAGGTGACTCTAAATATTGATTGAAAGGTTTGTGTTTTTTTGTTATATGTTAGATTTGTTTTCCCTTACATCAAATGAAAGTATTTTCTAATGCATCAAATGAAAGTATTTTCTAATGCTATGTGTGGTTACCTAGTTAATTTAGCTATGTGTGCATGTTCAGTATGGAGTTATACTTAGATAACACTTCAATTAACTCAACATGTGGAAGTACCTGAAAGATTGGTTTTCGTAGGAAATGATTTAGATTTCATTTTATGATGTGAATTTGTAACTTACCACTATTAATGGCATCCACAACTTGGTGCTGCATGACTCTTGGAACCAGTTGTTACAGATGATATCTGTCTGCTGTGTTGTTGTTGTTGTCCACTAATATTGTGTGCAGACTGTCTTGCCAGACACGACAGTCGTGTATTGTGTATACTTATCAACTACACAGGTATTTTGGACATGGTCCTTAAGTCAGTACAGACCACAAGGTGCTGAATATATACTACTCAAAGACGTTAAAGAACACTGATTCTTTCATGCCACTGTAGCTATTCTGTCATGCCATGACAGATTGACTATGGTAATATCAAAGAATCTGGCATTCTTTTACTTCTTTTGAGTAGTATATAAATAAACTTAAAAGTTGGGTTCTTTAGGGATGTCCAGGAGTAGTTGAAGTAGCTTACTCTAAATCACAGTAAACTACTGTTATAACAAACTCGAAGGGACCACTAACTTTAGTTTGTTATAACCGTAGTTTGTTAAAAGCATATATACAGCATAACTATAGCAAAAAGTCGGGACCAAAAAATCAGTTGGTTATATCCGTCAGTTTGTTATAAGCGTGTTCGTTATAAACGTACTTTACTGTATTCATTAAATCGTCCAATTAGGTTTGGAAGGAAAAAAACAATTGGTTACATATTACTCGGCCACCTCTTGATACAAATATTTCATATTATTTTTAGATTTTGTTCTGTGTTTTGCCTTGAAATGTTTGGGCAAGAAAATTGATAATAATGCTCAATACTTTGGATAACTACTCAGAGATGTAAATATCATTATTTGACCTTATAAAAAATAGATGGTAAGTTTTTTTTTAAAGTAATGTTACCTGAAGCAGAATTAGATGTTTTCATAGAAAGATATTTAAAAGTCCAAAATGGAATATCTTGCATATGTTTTTGTTTGACTAAGTTGACGTAAGCTTGGTCAAAAGGATTCCAAGATATTGATGGTATTTTTGCAATTTTTAGATATACTTGTAGACATTTCTTTTATTGTTGTTCACATGCATCTCATTTGTCTACTTTTTCAGACATTCAGCAACATTCATCATGTTTTGTTATTTCCTTATTTTACTCTGGCATTCTTCGTGTTTGATGTCTGAACAGTGCAGATATTCTTGTGTTGCATGTTAAATGAAAATTAAGGATGATAAAAAGCTGAATCCTAATTTTGACTGTGATATTAAAATTACCCTTCATTTGTAGAAGAAGCTGAGGTATTTGATGATGAGAGTAAGTAACAGAAAGACTACTTTGTGCAAAGCTTATATCTTTCCTATCGCTGAACAATTTGCTCCTGCAGTTTCCAGGGCCTTCTGTCGAGGGATATCAACACTTAACATTTCCGAAACACATCCACGATCATCCAGTGTATTATATCTCCATTCTGTTATGAACCCTGGAACAAGTCGATACCACGTCTTCTTTTAGGAAGTGATCATAATCTCAGTGATGATAATCTCAGTGATGATAATCTCAATGCTCATGATGTCAATCACTGGATTGTCTGGTCCACATTCGATTATTTACAGACCGCCGTTATATAGCTGGAATATTGCTGAGTGCGGCATTAAACAAAGGAACCTTTCACAGAAATTCTCTCAGTCATGAGTTTTATTTGATTGCATGGGATGGACCATGTGGTTTTATCCTAGGTTAGAACTAATCCCTAATCTGTCATACAGACCCTGAAACAAATATATCCAGCCCATGCAAGTCATTTGGCAAGTTTAGATTACTGCAATATTCTGAAAATGAAGAAAGCCTCTGTGCTCTTTTTATTATATTTTATAACTATAACTTAACAACTTGTTTTTTATGTAAGATAGTTCATTTCAGAGACTAGATGTTAGTCTAAGCTAGTCCCAGCTACCTATGCTGGTCACACGAAGTGACTAAGTGGCTTGTGTGGTTGATAGTGTGTGTTTGTAACCTGACTGCGAAGATCACTCACAATATCAATCACTATTGTCTGACCCAGTCTGGATTATTTACAGACCTCTGTTATATTGCTGAAATATAGCTGAAATATTGCTGAGTGTTATTTATCATCCCAAACAGGTTCCCACAGGAGATTTAGCTTGGGTGAGATCAAGCAAGATCTACATTGTAGATATCGCTTTTACAAATCACAGATTTTTTTCTCGCGTATATTTCGATTTAAGATTGATGTTTGATGATAAATAAATCTCACCCTCATGTCTTTTGACATCTAATATATCAACACAAGTTGATAAAAGTGGAAAAACTCTGAGGCTTGCGGGTGAGATTCTCTATATAGACAACAAACAAACAAATGATTGGGCAGCAACTTTCACATGTTTCGAAGGCCACAAATGAAGCTATGGAAGATGGGTCCAGGGATGTTACATAATACAATGGAGATATGAAAATCAGGGTAATCAAGGATGCCTGTTACATGGTGTGTCAGAGTTGGTCAATACAGAAGATAATAACATGTTTGATATTAACTTGTTAAAATATGCTATAACACTGTATAACATGTTGAGTTTGATATAAACCGTAACATGGAGATATGGACATATTTGTAACACTCACTCATCAACTGTAACATTTGGATACAAACTTTAGTTTGTCTTAACAGGGTATAACATCAAACATGAACGTTATTAATATCACTACTTGGGCCACAACAAATCAGTTGCTTCTACTGAATAAGTTCCGGCTGTATAGAAAACTCAGGACTTTGTAAAGCACTCATGCTAGAACTGAGTGGTACGTTTTTTCTGACATTGAGACAAAAAAATATATAACTGGTGAATGTAGCCAAAAGTACTGAATATGTCGCTCGTACCACATGGTTTCAAATTAACATCAGTCTGATTTTCTTGGGTGAGGGAGGACCAGTGACTTTTCCTTGTAGACTAATTCCCGATGTCCCTTGCCGTGATATTGACGTGATATTGCTAAAAACGGCTTCAAACCATACTCACGCACTGACTGATTTAATTACATGTATTTGCAGACTTTTAGCATGAAACAACATTCACTCACTTTCAAAAATGTATTAGTCAGTTTATTCCAAAATTAATCAATTGAGGTCTTCTAAAATGAAAGATAATGTCCAGTCAGTTCTCATTTCACTGGGTAGAGTAGAGTAGAGTTTGTTGTGGCCTAACTAGCACATTACATAAGTTTGTTATGACATTGCTCATGTCAACTGATAATAATAGAAACACGTATTGAATGTCACCATTGTTTTCACCTTGGTCGATATTTTAGTCCTTGTATTTCATTTCATTTCAACTCACTCACTCACTCACCAACTATTTCATAATGATAATTCAATTATATACTGAAACATTACAACAAAATTAAAGCAATAATATACTACTATAAAGAAGTAAATGAACACCTGACTTTCATATTAGTATAGTAAATCTGTCTTGGCATGACAGATTAGCTATAGTAATATGATAGAATTGGGTGTTCCTTAACATTTTTTAAGTAGTATATAATCTAGCTCACCCTGATAAGATTGTTTATGTTTTATGTATATAATGTGAATATGATCATGAATATCACTCACTCACTCACTCACTCACTCACTCAGTGAATGGCCTTCAGTCCATAGTAAATCATCATTTATTGATGAATAAGAACAACCTTTTGTGCGTATGACTGTCTTTTATTTAATATATTTTATTTGTGTTGAGCTTTTGTAATGTTGCATGCTTTTGTTTATCATTTGTGTTTGTTGTGGATGTAATATTTGTTAAAGAAATAATTTGACAATTCAAGTCATGATCCAAGATTTGGTTTAGGTCATCTCATATGGCCTCTGATTTAAGTTTCATTTTGTGTTTAACTTGGATTTTAAGTTGTTTGTTTTTTTATTTATTATGATCAGTAATTTCATATCATCACATGACTTCATGACATTTAACATTAACATATAGACAGTTCATCATTGTTTTGTCACAGGACATCCTTCACAGAAGGTTGTTTCCTTTCTCCACACTTTGTGTTTGCTAATCACAGCTAAATACAAGTTACCATATTTTCTTGAGTATGGTCCGCAACCCCTCTAGCAGATACAGTATTTTGGAGAAATTAAAAAAAAAAATTATTCACAGAAAAAAATGCTTGGCATTGTTTTACATGCAGAGATTAAGATTCCCTTGTGTATTTTCTCGTAAACAAAGCCGGAAAAAGCAATCAGCTGTACACACGTTTTTCTTGGAATCGAACGCTAATTTGGTTAAAACTTACCCAATGATATAACTTTAAAAGATTTTGATGCAAGGATCAGGACAAATTGTATCTGAAACTATTTTTTTATCAGGAATAATATATTCCAATATCATGCTAAATTAGTTGCAGCTTTTACTAAATATATTTAAAATAATAATAACTCTAAGCGTTGCACTTCGGTGCAGCTGATCGCTATTGCTGGTACAGGGTTGACTTTGTCCGAGACTAGTAACAATCTTGGCAGGCTAGTTGTTATATCCCTCATCTAATCAATTTACTAAACCACTAGTCTGAAACGAGCTGTGGACTACATATAGATGGATATGACCCATTGTGTCTATCCATGATTATGATTGACTCGGTGAAAAGCAGAACATCTGATTTTATATGTATGATGGAAAAAAACAGTGGTCATATAAATGTTTTTAATGGCACGTAATGCGACCAATAATGGATTGTATCATCGATGCAATATACCAGTCAAATATACTGGGAGGCATGATAGATAAATATGCAAATGAGGTCAAGAACTACTGTTTTAGCTCCCATGCAATATCTGCTTTCTCAATAAATTATTGAATAACATGCCCAATAAGTTTTGATAGGGTTTCCTGATGTGTATGGCTGCATGACATTTGATACTATATATGATAAGTGGGGTCATTTCACTCAAACACTTTATTCATAAACAGTTTCTAAAGTTACTTCGAGTGACATTGCTGCTTAAACATGAATTATTGGAAGAATAGCAATATATGATAAAGAAATTATTACCCTTGTGAGTTTCTGTGTCATAAATATCAAATATCAGGAATAAATAATGTGTCTTATGCTCACCAATAGTTCGCTTAATACAATTTGTATTCTAATATATGATATATATCATACGGAAACACATGAAGGTAATAATCTCTGTATGGTACACACTTGCATATACATACTTGCATGTACATACTTGCAGATACATACTTGCATGTACATACTTGCATGTACATACTTGCATATACATACTTGCATATACATACTTGCAGATACATACTTGCATGTACATACTTGCAGATACATACTTGCATATACATACTTGCATATACATACTTGCATCTACATACTTGCATCTACATACTTGCATCTACATACTTGCACCGCCTCCGTGGTCTAGTGGTAGAGCGTCCGCCCGGAGATCGTAAGGTCCGGGGTTTGATCCCCGGACGCGTCATACCAAAAGACGTTAAAATATGGTACTTGTTGTTACCCTGTCTGGCGCTCCGGATAAAGGGGTTAAAGCAAGGACTGGACGGCTCGGAGTCTGAGGTATTCATGTTAAACTGCGGCATGGTATCTCAGTGGGCTAGCACTATAAATCGGCATCAGTCCATTCTAGTACAAGCAGCCACACACACACACACACACACACACACACACACACACACACACACACACACACACACACACACACACACACACACACACACACACACACACACACACACGTGCATGCACGTCGCTATATAAGTGCAATAATCTTGGACACGACGTTTAACCCCATTTCACCTCACCTCACCTACATACTTGCATATACATACTTGCATCTACATACTTGCATATACATACTTGCATCTACATACTTGCATAGATGCATGTACAGGTCAGGTGGATGTAGCTGTCACAGTGCTGTCCCTAACAGCAGCATATACTTTAAAAACAGGCTCAAACAGGGAATAATCAGGGGAAAAACAAAGAGCGGATTATCAGTCCACAATGAATGAATAATGTTAATCCCGAGCCTTTGTCAATGGACGTACACTTTTATTCACGAAGGACAGATAATCCAGAATTCCTATTATATATATTACTCATTGACATTATGAGAGAAAATGAAGGAAAAAGGGTATGAAATGTCAACCCTACAGAGAAACTTCACTGAAGGCAGCCTGTTGGTCAGATGAAAAAATGTAATCAGTTTGTGATGTCATGAACAATGATGACATCATATATTTTTCTCAACTAGAAGCACTGTGATGTCATGGCTTCAATTGACCAATCAGCATTGAGAATAATTAAAATGCACATGTGCAAATATCGTAAGGTTATTACATACAATCATTCTATTACTATGGGTGATATGGTTTGGTAATTGTTTGTTTGTTTACAGAGCAGAATCACCAGAGTAGGAGGCAGATTGGGTCTATTGCAGATTATGACCCAATACCTAACCAGATACTCGCGGCCCAACCCACCGGGTACCAGTCGGTGCCGAGCCAGCAGCCCCGCTCCCCCGCCATGTTTGCACCCACACCTTACAGCCCCCCAGGTAAGCTATAACATGGTGAGCTAACTGGTATCTTCATCTGGACTTTGGGTAAAGATTTCTGACTTATCTGACTACAAGGGCAAGTCCGTGGTGAGCTACTCAATGGCTTCATCTGGACTTGGTGTAAAAGATTTCTGACTTGTCTGACTGCGAGTGCAAGTCCGTGGTGAGCTACTCCATGGCTTCATCTGGACTTGGTGTAAAAGATTTCTGACTTGTCTGACTACAAGGGCAAGTCGCCAGCATCAACCCTGAAATGGTTGGTCACTGAAGCACTATTTGCACTGCAATGGTTGTTGTAGCTCTATGTTATTGTGTCGATGTTAGAGCTGTAGAAGCACCATGGAGGATCATATGAATGGAGTCCTTGTGTAGAGGTTGGGTGAGCTATCGATCCTCATAAAATGTTTTTTGAAATTTGAAATGTATGCCAGTGAAATGTTTACTGTCCAGCAGAGTGAAGAGACTCAGCCCATTGTCATGACTAACTTTCCAGTTGAAGACGGGGTATATAACTAATATACCATCCCTGTTCAAGCCATTGTCACAGAATCAGTTGATGTGGAGATAAGTGGCTGTGTTGGAGAGGTGTATTGATAGCCTGGTGGTTAAAGTGTTGGCTTGTCATGCCAAAGTACTGGTTTTGATGCCCACCGAAGGTTCAAAGTGTGAGGGACATGTGCCCCTAACTGTGGAATATTGCCACCTCACTCACTCTCTTCTTGAAGAGGATGAAGATTTTTGAAAAAACATTTCGAAAAAGTAACTCTGTTTTGGTCCTTGGACTTAGACGGAGTCCACTATATCTTTATTGGCTCTACTGGTCCAAGACTAGGCTAGTTACTGAAATCGCATGCATCTGTTGCTCGTTCCGTCTTGTAACTTTCACATCTTCGAAGCCACTGAAAAATGAAACAAAACTGTGCATGATGACCCAGAAATGGTATTTCTTTGTCCTCTGATTATTCAGAACATGATTTTTAGATATTAAGAAGGAATCAAGATGTTAGTAAACCTGAATCTCTGAATAGTTTTCCAGTAAATGTTGATCCAGATTTGTGTTCAATGATGGTCAAATGTTCACAAGGATATTCCAGCAGGTTTAGAAACATGAGTGCCTGTCAGAAGGATGGCCCCTGCATCCATCCAACCAAAGCTTCCCCCTAACAGACTCTCCCAAGCTCCCGCTAACAGGTTAATACTTTCCAGCACCGTGTAACTCTGCTTACTCACAGTGCGTTGCATTTACAGGCCAGTTTAGTTCCGTGCAAAGGCAGATCGGGTCAGTTAACTTTAACCCAATGCCAAACAGCAGCCCTGCTCCAAGCAGCCAGTACACGTCTCAGCCGCAGGCGCGGCCAGGCCAGGGGTCCATGTACACACCCTTTAGGCCTGTGCAAGGTAGGTGGCAATACTCAAGTGTGGTGATGCTGTGCTTGCACCCTCACACCTAGCCTCATCACTTTACAGATCTCATCCACCATGTAGTGGTCAGGGTTCATTTCAGTTTGCCAGCAGTGGGTTGGTCCTTATTGTAGCTCCTCTTCCTTATTTTTCTACAGAACCCTTAATCAAAGGTCCGTTGGTCCTGGAAAACATCCCCTGACACCTTTGTCCCAGCTGATGCCATGACCCCCTTGATACCCTTGACAATACCTTATTACCTTTCTGACAAGAGCCTCGATTTCCATAGTTTTTCCCTTCCTTTTCCTTGAATACTTATAGATGATTGTCATGGTATTTTGAAACATTAAGAATTGTTTGTTGGATTTTCATTTAATGTTTACACACCTTGTGAACAACTACTTTAAAAAGCATATGAATTTTAGTGTACTATAAGTCAAGGAAACAGCATCTTGTACAATGACGTCCCGTGAAGATCTGGATTAGAATAGGTCTGAAGCAACCAATGCTTGTCGTAAGATGCGACTCATGGTTTTCCCAATTATGTAGATTGATGCGCAGAATGTCAATCACTGGATTGTCTGGTCCAGACTCGGTTGTTTACAGACTGCCGTCATAAAGCTGGAATATTGCTGAGTGTGGCGTTAAACAACAAACAAAACATAGACATATTGATGTAATGAGAGATGTGAAGGTCTTCAACACATGGGATATTTCTGTCCTGGCTTGCAAACCTACTACCCTCCAATGAATATATTACACTTTAGAAGCATCGGAAAACACCTGCCCCATGCATCAACCAATACACACCTGTCCCACCCACCAACCAATACACCTGTCCCACCCATCAACCAATACACACCTGCCCCACCCACGAACCAATACACCTGCCCCACCCATCAACCAATACACACCTGCCGGAATAACCAGTCAATACACACCTGACCCATCCGCCTGTCAATACACACCTGTCCCACCCACCTGTCAATACACACCTACCCCATCCACAAACCTATACAACATGCCCCACCAACCTACCAATACACACCTGTCCCACCCACCTGTCAATACACACCTGCCCCACCCACCTGTCAATACACACCTGCCCCACCCACCTGTCAATACACACCTGCCCCACCAACCTACCAATACACACCTGCCCCACCAACCTGTAAATACACACCTGCCCAAACCCACCTGTCAATACACACCTGCCCCACCCACCTGTCAATACACACCTGCCCCAAACACCTGTCAATACACACCTGCCCCAACAACCTGTCAATACACACCTGCTCCACCCACCTGTAAATACACACCTGCCCCATCCACCTGTCAATACACACCTGTTCCACCCACCTGTCAATACACACCTACCCCACCACCAACCAATACACACCTGCCCCTCCCACCCATCAATACACACCTTCCCCTCCCACCCATCAATACACACCTTCCCCACCTGTCAATACACACCTGCCCCACCAACCTGTCAATACACACCTTCCCCACCCACCCACATCATCAGTGGACCCCAGAAGAATATCATTCCTCCATCTAGTTCTGACAGACACAGGAATGCTTGTTGCTACACAGTTTGGTTATGTGGTGGTTACTCTGTGTTTGTTGGGAGATGTTAAATTAACATGTTTGCTTGAAACAGTCATTTCATCTCATACCACATTTAAGTTCAGTCACCATAACTGCATTAATCCACTGTGAAAATCAAGTGATAGGCAAGACTTATTCCGATATAATAAATGTCAAACTCCCCACTTGTATCAAGGAAATGTGAAGGGAATTAACTGTTATCTATGAAGCCATGCTTATGCACAGTTGATGTGATTTGATACAGGAACTTGAGAATACAAAAGTAATGTGTTTTGAGGCACTGTTAAGCACATTTTGCCTATTATCTTGCTCTTGATAACTGTAAATGATGATAAAGTATTTACATTTAAGCTGAAAATGTTTTAGTTCATTTGGTTTAGAGGTTAAAAGCCATTGCATTTTTCTATTGAAGTTAATTTAATTTGATGATTTGAAAAGCATGCCATGACAGAAAACAAGACTTTGTGAAAATTCAGCTCATTTGAGGGATTGTGGTGGGGGGCACAGGTGGCCAAGTGGTGAGAGGTGCTGCATTTCTCAGAGGCCACATGATCAGGGTTTGAATACTAATTTCTCTCTGATCCCACATTAAATGTACATACAGTGAGATTACTGAACTCACTCACAGTGCATAGCCTAGTGGTTAAAGTGTTTACTTGTCATGACGAAGGCCTGGGTTTGATTTCCCATGTGTACAATGTTTCAAGGCCACTTCTGGGGTCTGCCACTATGATACTGCTGGAATATTGCTAAAAGCGGAGTAAAACCTCACTCACTCACTCACTCACTCACTCACTCACTCATTGCTGTGAAGGGCAGTGGGGTAGCCTAGTGGTTAAAGTGTTCACTTATCAAGCGAAAGGTTCAAATCCCATTATGGGTACAATGTGTGAAGGCCATTTCTAGTGTCCCCCCTCCCATCCTGATTTGGCTAGAATATTGCTAAAAGTGGCTTAAGATCACTCACTCACTCATCACTGTAAGCTGCTCATGGAGTGACAACTAAACCAACTGAAGCCTTTTCAGCTTGGTTGAATTTTTAACGAGGATGGTAACTTTTATGTTTCTATCTGAAGATGTTCCTTCACATTATTATGCTGTCACCATTTTGCTCCTCGTCACCCGGTGGTGAGGCAGGGTCGTATGACCCCCCATCTCATACTGTTGGATTATTTTCATAGTTATGTCTCATAACTGCATGAGTTGCATGTGTTTCTCACTCATTACGTCATGTGGGTAGTTGTGGAAGACACACCTGATGTCAAGGAGGAAGAGCCTGTCCCCGAACCTTATAGTGACCAAACTCAGGGTAGGTCAAGTAGTATACACAAGACAGTGTGTTGCTTCTAAATTGAAGAAAGTGCAAATGACCAGAGTTAATAAATTTATGGTCATGTATATTGAAGCTCATTGGTCTTTGCTTTGTATTTGTTTTAGTAATTTTTAAACTCCAGGAAGGTTAAGTTTTAGAATTTGTAAAAAAAATCCAGTCATATTTCCAATATCTCAATGAAAATATTGTGTTAAAACTTAAAAAAAGTAAACTCTCTTAACATGAATGAATTATATTTAGTTGAAATTCTACAAAGAAACAGATATAATTATTAATGTATCAAGGTTAACACTTGGTAGCTATAGATTGTTATAGGAGTAATACACTACATTATTGTATCTGTTAAAAACAAGTGCCGTGCCCTGACTATGAGTGAGAATTGTCAGCATACAGGTCATGTTTGTTTTTCTGTAGAAGAACCTCAGGCCCCCGAGGTTGTTGGCGGAGGGTTTAGGACAACCTATCCGACAGATATTCCGAGTTCTCCTCAGGGTAGGCAAATCGCATCAATCCCATGTAAAGGCTAGCACACATTGCAAGGAGTCATGATCCCATGTAAAGGCTAGCACACATTGCAAGACGTCATGCTCCCATCTTACAGGCTAGCTTACTGTAAGAAGTCATGCTCCCATATTAAAGTCTTGCACACTCTGCAATAAGTAACAACTTGAAGCACCTTCCTTTGTGAGACTCTATACCAGACATCCTTATCTGCCCTCCCCTATTGTCATGGCCCAGAACTGACCATCCCCCTTCTCCCTTACCCTTTTATTTCAGTGTAAGTATTTTTTCCAATCCTGTTACCTTTCCCTTTTTTCCAAAACAATCAATTTGTTTCCGAAGACACATATTATATATTTTACAGCATGTTTTATAATTTATTCTTCCCTTAAGACTGCCCTTCCTATCTCCGAAATCAATGAATCTCTCTGCTTGTCCCTGAAACGCTAATTTTCTGTTGGCAACCAGAGCTTTATCGAGCCCATCTTGGCTCTCCACATGGTTATGCATTTGTTGATAAAGAACATGCAGTACTGTTTTTCTTGAAAACATGATAATGTTATAACAACAATAACAGCTTTATCAATAATTTGGCATCAACCATAGAAGAATGTGTGTAAAAATAATTACAAAATTAAACAATCTAATTTTTGCACTGATATAAAAAGACCAAGAATGACATGTCTTGCTGATTCATGACTATTTTAAGATGCATTGATGGGATTCAGTGGCCACAATGGCTGTTCAGTATGGGCATTACTGAGGTGGGAGATTGTTTTGTTGACCTGGCTGACCTGGTGTGTCATCACACCCCAGTGGCTAGGATGGTAGCTCCTACTAACTCCCAAACTTTTGGCCAAAAAACAATGTAATTGGTCGAATTGTTTAAAATCATATTGAACTTTCAGATAAGTACTGCTGCTAATAAATGAAAACAAACAAGTTTTAACATTGCAAGATGTAGAAAGAAAGTGTTTTGTTAGAATAAATACCTTTATACATATTATTCACCATTTCGTACGAACACAGTACTGAAATCTCGTATTCTTTTCATTCACCTTATAGTAAAACTGAGTCGGCTTAATTTTTTGGTCACTAGTAATTTATTTCTTTTAATTTTTGTCATTTTTTGTCTGTCAGTGTCTTCATAAACCAACAATATAAAATGTAAGGCCTAAAATAAGTATCAATAGTATGTCACAAGCTGCAATAGTGTTGCCTTCGACAGTTTTGACCTTATTTGGTTTGTCATCAAAAGGACAAAATGGCTGCAACAGCTAGTTTTCATCCTGTAGCTGTTGTATTGTTGACTAAGTGAGACGCCTGAGTTTATGTGAAGATGTTGAAGTAGAAGGAATGCATGCTGTTTATTCTCCAACTATGGTTGACAAGGTTCCCCGGAGGACACGCGAGTCAGCAGCCAGTCTATTCCCTACACGCCACAATCACACGGTACGTTAGTCCATCTCAGTAGCATCTCCTTTACCTCGTTTCTACTTTCGTTATTTACCTAAATTTTAACATGGTTACGTTAAGTGCACAGTTGATCTTTGGAATGGCAATGAATCGGAGGCTATGGGTTTTATATAATATTCTTTTTTTATGTTATTTTTATTCTCTTTGATCTTCATTCTGTTAGTTTGTTTATATTGTTGAATCAAAGTTTTAAGAGTTGTCAGTTTGCAAAGGATGTACTGTTATTTGAGGTAGATCTTAAGAGGTGAAAATTATGCTTCGTGAAAATAAATATGGAATTCTTTGATCAGATTACATCAATGTGTATTGCTTCTAACAATATTTTTAGAGAAACCTAAGAATCTTTTTATTTACAAAAATTACAGGAGTATTTCATTGGTTAAAGAGGTGTTAGGCTAGACAGATGTTTACTTGTTCACTGGTTGTACCCAGTGTGGAATGGGAATGCTATCTTTTTGTAATTTTGGGTAACCAGTCTGTGGAAAATTAAACAAGGTGAAATATCACTTCTAGATACAAATTTGCTTTCACAGCAGGAGATACAATTACAGGGTAGGTCCCATACCCTATCATTGGTGAAAGAGTGCACTAAGAAGGATCGAATGTAAATGTGTGACCTGGCTCATTGTGTGACACTGTGCCCCGATGGCCTCGATGGTTATTCATGTCACGAATCATGACTTGATAATGTCAGGTCTGTAGAGCTGGAATATGGCAGACTGTAGCATAAAACAACATTCACTTGCTTATGTTTCTTCTGAACCTAGCGCCTCTTTAATTGGATCTCTACTATAGTTCCATATGGTCAAGTGATGTCTTAGCCTAGCTCCTCTTTAATTGGATCTCTACTATAGTTCCATATGGTCAAGTGATGTCTTAGCCTAGCTCCTCTTTAATTGGATCTCTACTATAGTTCCATATGGTCAAGTGATGTCTTAGCCTAGCTCCTCTTTAATTGGATCTCTGCTATAGTTCCATATGGTCAAGTGATGTCTGAGCCTAGCTCCTCTTTAATTGGATCTCTGCTGTAGTTGTTCTATATGACCAAGTAGGGCTCGCATGTGATCTATTTTCTTCCTATTGGGTGTGAAACAGAGGCAGACATCAGTGGTGGGGGATTCCAAACAACATACTCAGTAGATACACCAGGTACGTCCCAGGTCTCTAGCTTCCAACAGTGTAACACATGCATAAGAGATATAAACTGTATACAGTGTATAATACCAATATATTCCACTTCCATCATAGCTATGTTAAGAAGTTATTTTAACTAAGGTTCTATATTATTTATCATGTTGGTCACTAGTTTGTTGTAAGAATTTCAAAAGTACACTCCTAATTGTATTTCGTCCGTTTGTTTCAACATTTTGCATTTAGTTTGTGCTAGTGTCGGAGATTACTTTTCTATAACTGTTATATGCAGATCTTGTTGAAGAAGACAATACCAGTAGAGGCTTCAGTCCAACTGTGGGTTTGTCCTCCTCATCCCCTCCACCTGGTATGTAACCTAGCAGTATAGGGTTAATGTAGAGTCAGAAACTCATCCTGGCAGTATAGGGTTAATGTAGAGTCAGAAACTCATCCTGGCAGTATAGGGTTAATGTAGAGTCAGAAACTCATCCTGGCAGTATAGGGTTAAAGTAGAGTCTGAAACTCATCCTGGCAGTATAGGGTTAATGTAGAGTCAGAAACTTTGGCTAGCTAGAAGTATAGGGTTAATGTAGAGGAAGAAACTCTGGCTAGCTAGCAGTATAGGGTTAATGTTGAGGCAGAAATTTTGGTTAGCTAGCAGTATAGGGTAAATGTTGAGTTGGATACTCTGGCTAGTGGGCAGTATAGGGTTAATGTAGAGTCAGAATCTGTAGCTAGCATACACTAAAGGGTTAATGTAGAGTCAGAATCTGTGGCTAACTAGCAGTAAGGGGTTAATGTAGAGTCGGAATCTGTGGCTAGCATGCACTAAAGGGTTAATGTAGAGTCAGAATCTGTGGCTAGCTAGCAGTAAGGGGTTAATGTAGAGTCAGAATCTGTGGCTAGCTAGCAGTAAGGGGTTAATGTAGAGTCAGATACTTTGGCTAGCTGGCAGTAAGGGGTTAATGTAGAGTCAGATACTTTGGCTAGCTGGCAGTAAGGGTTTAATGTAGAATCAGAATCTGTGGCAAGCTGGCAGTAAGGGGTTAATGTAGAGTCAGAATCTGTGGCTAGCTGGCAGTAAGGGGTTAATGTAGAGTCAGAATCTGTGGCTAGCTAGCAGTAAGGGGTTAATGTAGAGTCAGATACTTTGGCTAGCTGGCAGTAAGGGGTTAATGTAGAGTCAGATACTTTGGCTAGCTGGCTGTAAGGGGTTAATGTAGAGTCAGAATCTGTGGCTAGCTAGCAGTAAGGGGTTAATGTAGAGTCAGAATCTGTGGCTAGTGGGCAGTAAGGGGTTAATGTAGAGTCAGATACTTTGGCTAGCTGTAAGTAATGTAGTGTCTCCAGAAAACATATTTGTTGGAGTTAACTGAAGATCTCGTGTGTTGATTTCTATTTTACCTCGTATAAATTACTAAGTCCAGAATATTATAACTACCTAATATGTGTGGCTTTTTAGTTATAGTTTAAGTTTCTCTGTAAGTAGTAACTAAATGTAGCAGCAATCTTGTGTAGTATTATAACCTAAGTATTACTTTATAAACTACTCAAAAGAAGAACACCCAATTCTTTCATATTACTTTAGTTATGCCTTAACATAACTATAGTAATTTGAAAGAATAAGGTCTTCTTACACTATTTTTGAGTAGTTTATTGGCTTCTGTACACGACTAAACACCATGTAATATCTAAAGATGCTGAGATTCCTGTGTAATATACATGTAAACTGTTAAACTTATGTTTCTCTAAAGGAATTCCCATTGTTTGAATCTAAATTGGAATACAGTGGCAATATTATTAATGATTTTATGATCATGAGTATGTGGTTAAAGATCAGGAAATATGAATTGTTCAGGATTTAGATATTTAGAATGCCAAATAAATAAACGTAATCCTAAAATCCTTTAACCTTAAGAAACTGCTACAAGACAAACAACATTGTTACAAGACAACAGTATTGTTACAAGACAAACAGCATTGTTACAAGACAACAGTATTGTTACAAGACAAACAGTATTGCACAATGTGCCCCCTGCTGTGCCTGTTTGACTGCATGCTATTGTGTTGATGTTTGGTGTAGTGGAGGAACCTAGTGCTGTTGGCGCCGGCTTTAGAACAACGTACCAGGTGGATGAGGAAGGTAAGATGTCTTCACCACTCTGTCTACCTCTATCTCTGCACAACTGGTGTGAGCTTGGGGTCATTTATTGTAGAGCTCTTGCACTTAGTTTGTTACTCAGTAAAGAAAATCGGTAAATAAAAACTGCTATTGCTCTGACAGAACTGGATGGATATTGTAGTAGAAACAAAAATATATCAAAGGAAATTTGTTTCTATATCCTGAAACGAACCGAGGTATGTGAAGGTAGGTGATCAGTTTCAAACCTTGCATAATGGCGTACTGTCAGTGATTGTATGAGTGCTTCAAGCGATGCAGTGTTTGCACAGTTTTTAACATGCAGACATCTAAGGCAGGCAACCCCTGACAAAAACTGCTGCCATTTGTTGTTGAAAGTGTTGTATATATACCGTACATGTAATGTCATTAAAGAAACAAAGGTATGTCCTACAATAAACCCTCTTTCACAGGTAGGTTTGTGTTATACATAGAAAAGCGAACTGGTGAGGATTATATGACTGCTTCAAGCCATGCCGTGTTTGCACCTTTTTGAACAATGCAGTGAGCTCCATAGTATCTATTCATGCTTTCTTGGAGACATCAGAACAGGTGAGGAGATAGATTTTATCAGTTCCTCAGGAGATGTATGAGATCTCACAAGAAGACAGTTTAAAGGACATTCATTCAGATTCCAAACATATTCGAGGATAAGTGTGACCACTGTGAATGATATACCTCTCTGACAGGTGAGGAAAAAAGCCTTGGTGCTGGTTGTGTTAGTGTCCTGTGCTCAGTGTGTGCTTTGTACTTTCACCTACCCATGTGTGCATCAATGCACTGTTGTGTCTGCCCCGCTGTTGCCTTCAAGAGCTTAGGGTTGCAGGCTTTCCTCAAGAGATACACAGAAAGGGCAGGTAACTTAGGGTAGTGTGGAAGTCACACTGCTCAGTGAGGACAAGGAACATATCAGTGTACGGCCAAGAGAAGGCTAAACACTGATGGATGTTCTGCAATGTGGGTATTCTGGTTTCATTGTGTATTATACCAAGTGAATGGCACTTTGTCAATGTAAGTGTAAGTAGAGGTCGGTCTAGTACATGTAATATAGACATGTGTTAGATTCCGGTGTACATGCTTACTGCTGTGGGACAGTCAGATATGAATTTCTCCAGCAGTTGTTCCAATCGTCATTTGAGGCTCATGAGCTTCAATCCAACACAGGTCAATTGTCATCTCCGAGATATCGGATATCACAGATTCATTCAGTGTGATGTTTAAAGTTGTTATTCTGATTAACCATTTTCATTTTGCATGATGTGTGATTAGAGTTAGATGAAATATTGACATTGACAGCTACTAACTTCTGAATGATCTGACATTGTCTGTGTGTAGAGAGCAGGTAAGTGTTGCAGTCAAGTTACTTCAGCTGTAGGAACTCAGATCTTTTGTCTTTTCAGGTTAACCACAGGTGATATTGAAAGTGTATCTCCTGATACACATTTAATTTGTATATATGTCTCTGCAAATATTTTTTGAACAAATTGATTCAAAAGACAAAATTGTCTTGAACCTCTTGACTCGTCATTGTGTTGTGGAAGGTTGATTTTCGTTGTATCTATTGGAGTATACTTCTGTCAAACCTGATGGTGATGGGCTGGCCTGGTGGTTAAAGCATTTGCTTATCACGTTGAAGGCCTGGGTTCGAATTCCACATGCGTACAATGTGTAAAGCCCATTTCAGGAGTCCCTTGCTGTGATAATGCTGGAATATTGCTAAAAGAAGCATAAAACCCAACTCACTCACTCTATCCAATCCTGGCAAAACATGCTCCTAGGTGAGTCACTAGATCTGCTTACTTCTACATTGAACACCTTCCTAAATTCCTTTTTGTTCGTTGCAGCTCCCCAACCTGCGAAACAGAACAAAGGGGTAAGTTTATGACACAACACATGATGCTAAAGTGCAACACAATATGAACAAAATTTAGAAAACCTTTTTACTTTAGAACCTGCTTGTCAATTCTGTATTACGATTACGTATGACATATTTGTCTTAGCTTACGTGTAAAATTGTGTTGGCCATTGACATTTTGATAGTTTGTCATGCCAATCTTTCTAACCTCTACAGTTTAAACTCCTTACAGCATGTGACCCGTGAAGATCCGGGGTAGAACAGGTCTTCAGCAACCCAAGCTTGCCGTAAAAGGCGACTATGCTTGTCATAAAAGGTGACTATGCTTGTCATAAGAGACGACTAATGGGATCGGGTGGTCCGGCTCGCTGACTTGGTTGATGCATGTCCTCGTATCCCAATTGCATGGATCGATGCTGATGATGTCAATCACTGGATTGTCTGGTCCAGACTTGATTATTTACAGACCACCATCATATAGTTGGAATATTGCTGAGTGCGGCGTTAAACAACAAACCAAACCTTACAGCATGTACATCATGTATATCAACATTGACTTTAGATGTACGTGAGGCACAGAGCCTAAACATGAACACGAAGTCATCTGAAGTTTACCTGCATATCGTGACTGTCTGTGTGGCCATGTATTCTCATTACAAGCTGACTGGGCGCTGCGGTAGTGGTTAAAGTATTCGCTTGTAATGCCGAAGACCCAGTTCAATTCGCACAATCATGTGAACTTCCATTTCTGGTGTCCCCTACCATGTTATTGCTGGAAATAACTTGAAGCTGGGTAAAACCAATCTCACTTATAATAAGCCTTCAACATATAATGCATATGTAGATATATTCTTGAACACTCATTGTATTGTAAATAAAGATAAAAACAGAAACAAAGTGTGCTACTTAAAACAGAAATAGACTGAGTCAATGTAAGTATGGTTGGTTTGTAGCTTGAACTGAGAATGACTAATGCCTAAGAAACTTTGATTCTTGCCTACATTAAAAACAACTGCCCTTTCTTCAGATTGTCTCTCAAGCATTGTACGACTACGCAGCAGCTGATACGGACGAGGTGAGCTTTATGGAGAACGACGTAATCATCAACTGTGAACCTGTGGATGACGGCTGGATGTATGGCACAGTAGAACGGACAAACAAGCGGGGAATGTTGCCTTCCAACTACGTTCAGCGTCTTAACTAGGTGTGGCCAGCAGTACACATCCTTGTGCTTGTTGTTTAGTGTGAGACTGGGGATGATAGACATTACCCTTGGCTCAGACCTGCACTCATGTACGCCTCTCGCCACTGGGGAATCGCACATGAGCAAACGTGGCCAAGGGAGCTGTTATTGTTTTAATATTTTAGTCTTAACACAATAGTTTGTTAACTTAGCCAATCGCTGATACCAGACTCTTAGACAAGGTGGCTGGAAGCAGCTCCATTGAAATTTGAACACAACATGAATGGGCATTTCAGAAAGTTAAAGTTATAATACTGTTGGTGCATGTGTCATTGGTTTGTAAATTTGTGACATTTGGTCCTCTGTGTTCAAAGGCTCTTCTACTTATTTACAAAAATCTTTATCAACTTTGAATTCTGGGAATTATTGAGAGTTCTGACACTTGTCTTTAAAAGTCATTAAAATAAAACGACCAGCACAGCAGATTATTCTTAGACTGTGCATCTTGTCCTCTCTGCAAACACCTACGGTTTGCTTCAGCTTTGTCTAGGATGATAGGTACGCAGACAATGCGGTAACAGGAATACTCATGTCGCCATTCCTGTTTGACACTACAAGCAAGTCCCTGTTGGTACTGCTTTTCCTAAACATATATTCATATTTTATCCAAATGTTTTATTATTCTAAGATTATTACAGTTGATGGCAATCCTAATTTGTCTTTTTTTTTGCCACATGCCAGGCACGCTTCAGTCCATGCTATGACTAAGACCATTGGCGCCATGTGGTAACCATGGATATTATGTGGTACCCATGGTAACCAGCTGTGGATGCTTTGTCATTCAGGGTCATGTTGATATGAATACATTGACATGGTTGCACAATATATAGAGAATTTGCTGTCTGTAACATATACAACCCTCTAAGAACTGTAAAGTTGGGCGTAGTCAGTAGAATATTGGAATGGATATTTTAATACATTTTGAAGAATAGAATTTTTTGACCATTTGAAAAATGTTGTGCATAATTTTGAAGTCTACTTTGCATGGAGAATTTCATGTCCCTTGAATGACTTTGATGAAGTTTGCCAACGAGATACTAGATGTCTTTTGTTTATATGTGTGTTATATTGATCATACAAGTTTGTCCATATACATTTCTTCACTGGTGATTATTTTGCAAAAAATTTGCTTCCCTCTTAGTGCTGTCCTCGATATAGCTAGTATAGCTTCCTAGTGCATTCATTGATGGTGATCACTGTCTTGTCAATAAAACTTACGTATTCACAACTGTCAAGAAATTTATGCGAGAGAAAACCCCAAAATTCAGAATCATTTTTTGACGCAATTATTGAATATTCTTGTATATGTATTGAAACTTAACAGCATGTAGATTTAAATCTTATGTTAATCAAAAAGGAGTTATGTCGTGACCTTTCTGTCCTTTCCGTATACATACTGCATGAATGTATTATGTACATGTTTGTATAATAATTTCTCGAAGCTATGGTTCTGTTGTAAGTTTTCTTATAGTGTATGACGGGTTGGAATATCGCTCCTGCATAATATTTATCTGTTACCATGGCTACAGTGTCTGATTATGTAGTGAAGCATCCTGAACATGCTTCTACTGAAACATACAGACATATCAATTAGTACTGTGATTTAATTAATTTAATTGAAAGACAATTCCAAATGGCACTTGAAGAATGAGTAATTTCCTTGGAGGATATTGTTATACCTGTCCATTTAATCGCTATGACAACGGAGTTTGATATTATCGTTGCAAGCCACAGTGAAGATTGTGTTAATTCAAGATCTTATTACAAGTTGTTTCTGTGTAACTTAACACTTCATAACCTTTGTGATAGTCCTATATAGTTTGTTAGTTGACAAATTCCTCTCCAAAGTGGGGGAATTTTATGTTTGCCAGATTTGTTAAAAATGTTGTCTATATATTATACTTATACACCAGAGTGTCGAATGCTCACTGATATCCCTATGCAAACTGTATAAAAAGGTAAGACTTTTATCTATGTTGTAAATCAAACTCAAGGCACGCAATACATTTTGTCTTAACTTGAACATGGATCAACATAGAAATTGTGAAATGAATATGAAATTATGGTCCTCTTTTTGGTTTTCATTACAGGCCTCTTTCCACAAAGCAATCTTAGCGCTACGATTGTACGCCTATGTTAATGTATGGGAGTTACAATAACCTTAGCGCTAAGACTGCTTGGTGGATAGAGCCAGGACAACATATATCTTCATCACACAGTTTAACATTATCACACATTTCGTAAATTATGTCCAAATTTGTTGCCCAGGTTTGCTGTTTGGGAACAATTCAAATTTGTACAGATGATTTTGTCAGTCTTAGTGAACTTAAATCCACCAGTTTGTAATGCAGCCATCTTAAAGCAGTGAGCCAGTAAGCTGCATTGAGACATGCCAGGTTGGATATTGGTGGAGTTCCTGTGACATCACTGTAAACCTGGGTCTTTACGGTGGGGGATATTACAAGAATTGTTTCCACGTAACTTCTATCAGCAGGATGTTGTACCAGATTATGTTTGATCTGCATGGGATTTGACTACCATGCTTTGTCTCTTGGGAACTTTCTTAATTTTAATGTTCTGATGTTTAATGTTCTAATTCTTCACTTCATGAACCTACTTGATATTGATTGTGGAATCTCTGGGGTCTATAGGTTCTGGGATATTGGGGTGTTGTCAGGTAGGTGTAGTTAATTGTCCAGTTCCAACTTGAAAAACTAACTTTTAGAAGCATATTGTACAAATGTTGGATTCACACCAACTTTGTTTTTGTTAGAAAAAGATTTGTGTCCAATGGTAAGACTTCAGGATATAACAGTCATTTTGTATCGATACAAAAAGTCATAAGGAAGATAGAGTAACGCTGTCATATGAAAATTTAATATAGCTAAACCTCGGAAAGGCGTAGTAGCTCATTTCTTTCCCCCAATCTTCCCAATGCTTCTTAGCCCCCCCCCCCCCCCCCCCCCCCCTCTCTTGCTGTTGATCTGCATGTAGCTAGCTTGTATTTATAAACCAATTCGTCAGATTCCCATTGTATTATATCTTGTTGCTAGCTTTCTGCAGTCTATTTGCTCTATCCAAGTTTGAAATAGTATTAGAATAAAGATTTCAATTTACTTGAACTATGAAAAATGTGTGTACTTTGGGCACACACTTTTGTCACCAAGGAAAATTGTGAAATTTTTAGATCTTTATCAAGAAAAAAATTATAGGTTATAAGATTATTATTTTTCTTGAGATACATGGAATACTTCAACAGAACAATTATCGTTATTATGACTTATGATTCAAGTGTCAAAAATAAATTCTATAGTGTTTTTGATTTGGACATATCCTCTCCATGTATTTAGCTCTCAGGAACAGTAGTGGGATATATTCAAGCATGTTTGTGATGACACACATAATCAGTATAGCCTAGTTGGTTGGTATTGTTGTATCTACCAGGACAATATAAGTTCTTTATATACACAGTTAAACAATGCCTACTTCAGCTAAATCATTAATAGTTTCATACCATAATAATCTTTGGTGCTTCAACTAGTAAGATTTCCTATTAGTTCTAGTATTATTAGATTTTGTAATAAACAATGCAGAATCTGTTTTAAACCTCATTTTAGATCCCTAGGTCATGCATGTTAAATTTTATTTCTGAACAGATAATTGTGTTAATGCCGAAAATCCAGACAAATTACAAATGCTCAAAGGTTTGAAGTTTTACCATGAGAGTCTTATTTTGTGAGGAAGGTATTGTTTTATGTTTGGCCTGGCCCAGCATGGGCCGGAGACAGTTGCTGCTTCTGTTATTCAGATGTCTATTTTACAAGTTGCCTGTCACTGTTGCACTAGACAACGGAGAGTTTTGTATGATGATGTAGTATAGTAGCTTCTATAGCCGTCACTTTGGTCCCCCTGTCAGGGGAGACAACTCTTCATGCCCCTTCCACTTGTTGATAAACTTATATAGAAATATGTCATGTGTTTGTCGTCTTTAGGCTGCTGGGGAACATTTCAGGCCCCATATGAGTCAGAAGAGCGGATGAAATTAAGAATCTGTCCAGCATCGTATCCTGATGGAGTGGATTCCTGCTTAATAAATTGGGTGCTGTCCTTTTGCAGATTGCAAAGTAGAAGTATAATTGTGTGTGGTGAGTTGTATCCTGGCCTGTCAGCATGAAGTGGGAGGAAATCCTGAAGTGATGCAGGTCTTCGACGTTTACCACTTTGGTGAAACCCATGAGCAGAGGAATATGGTGCCGTCAAACCAAGAAACATATTCATAGGTTCCTGACATGCAAACTGTGTCACCTTAAATGACCACACTACTGAAAGTGATCACGCAGCTTGAAGCAGCATGCAAGCAAATCAAGTCTTTTCTGTTGAATTCACATTAACAGTGAGTGAGTGAGTATGGTTTTACGCCGCCTTTAGCAATATTCCAGCAATATCACGGCGGGGTACACCAGAAATGGGCTTCACACATTGTACCCATGTCATTAACAGAATCAGCAAAGACAAACACAGATATTTGTAAACAATCTTTTACTATATACTTTCTGTGTAAAATAATATTGATGCATGTTTCTTGGTTAATAAAATATATATATATCACATGAACAATTGACAAAGAGATCAGGTACCATCTTTTAGTATGACACGGGCAGACAGTCTATCCACAAGACCACGGAGGTTGTCTCTTCATCAACAGTGCAACCGCATAGATTGTAATATCAAAACACATAACATTCACTTCAGCATGCATCTCGGTTATGTTACAAATGAACACTGTTATTATTTTTGTTACAAAACAGTTTAACAGAAAGTAAACTGATATAAAGAAGGGCATCAACAAAGCAGTTCTATACTAATGTAAGGACTTAAATTATTTTTTTTGACCCGTGAAGATCCGGGATAAAATAGGTCTTCAGCAACCCATGCCTGCTAACGGGATCAGGTGGTCAGACTCGCTGACTTGGTTGATGCATGTCATCGATCCCAATTGCGTGGATCGATGCTCATGATGTTAATCACTGGATTGTCTGGTCAAGACTTGGATTATTTACAGACTGGCGTCATATAGCTGGAATATTGCTGAGTGTCAACAAACCAACCAACTTACATTTTTTACTTGGTTTATGTATATGCTAACCTTAAAAATGTAAAAATTCAGTAAAAGAAAACCTCAGAATGACAGCAAAGATTGTTTTGACATTGAAATACCACGGTCAGTTTTTTTGTTTATTATATTTGACCAAAACATGGCCAAACTTCTGTAACAAAATTATCACCTTCCGAACTTAAATATTATTAAAAAACTCCTGTACAAAGAATTATACTTATTTTGACCTACTGACCAAATACTTCACTATCAAAATCCGTAAACCAAAAAAAACCAGTTTGACCTCAGGACTTGAAGACACACAGACCTGTGGTGAGGCTTAAGGCGACACTTTTTTTATTTCTTGGTTTACGGATTTCAAACTCATTTCAAAAGTGAGGCAGGCCAATTTTAAAAAAAAGGAAAAAAAAGCCTCATTTTTTTTACTTGAATTTTGTTCTAAAAAGTTTATAGCAAGTGTAAGTTTGATATGCCTTTTCTTTGCCGGTCGATCAGCCATTGCCATTATTTATTGACACACTCATACTGATATGATCTAATTAACCTCAGTTCCTCATTAACAGTTGAGTAAATTCTAATTACCGTATTCGAAGTAATAAGCGCCCAGGGCGCTCTCAAAATTAGAATTAGGGGGCTCTTATTAGAATATAATTTTGGTGAAAGAGTTGAAAGATCGTAAATTTCGTGGTTTATGTTGACAGCCTGAAATGATACAAAAGAAAAGTCTGTGCGTATTATACACGAAAGATATATTTTTCCAGAATTTAATTGCCCGTAATTAAGGGTGCATATAACACACGAGTGCATATTATACACGAATAAATAAGTCTTGTGTACTTGTCTCGGGCGCTTATTACGTCGAATACGGTAACTAGACAGATAAAGTATTAAGGTCAATAGGATTACATGCAGGATTAGCGTTGTTGTTTTAGCTGACAATTTAGACAGCTATCAATAGTAAATTGTTTTGGGGGACTGTAAGTTAAGTCCTAAATCTGACGTTAAAAAGTCTAAATTAGAGAGTTGTAGGTCAGTTTGAGTAACGATGATTTATTAAGGAACTGAGGGGACCGGGTAAAGAGGCCGGTGTTCAACGAAATCCGAATTTGACAGTCCAATTTGGACAGATTCCACTGCATATACCGGGGTATATATACTTCATATTCATATTCTTCAAGAGACTGGACTCTAACTAATTCCAGTCTACTGTTAGATGTTTATTTTGTAGGATATTCAAATAAATGGTGTGAAAGTATTAACTGTAGTTCATCAGGGTGTCATACAAAGTGCTCTTAGCACTAAGGTGATCATAACTCCCATACCTTAACACAGACTTATGACAGTCGCAGTGCTGAGGTTGTTTAGTACAACGGCACCTGGGTCCTTTTTTGACAAGATGGAACATAATCAGGGTGAACCAGGATTCCAACCCTTGATCATAGGTTTCAGGGATATCTAAAGGGAGGCAACTCCAACTCAAAGTGGGTTGCACAATACAAACACTACTTAAAAGACAGATTAACTACAGTAGTATGAAAGAAGTCCTTCACTTCTTTTGAGTAGCATACATACTATGGGATGTGTACCTAAACATCCAGTCATCTATCTTCATAATGACAGAATACAGATTTAGGGGATAAAGAATATATTGTGGAATCAGACAATAACAGTAGAACATTTCTGGATTTATAAAGCCCTTGGCACAGAATTAATGAATATGTTTGAGTGTCTGCTTGGACAGCAGTGACAGATATCAACAATGTAAGTTCGAATCCCGGATGGGACTCAACCATCCTAAAATCTGTACTTTACTAAGGAAGTGTTAACCCAAATGTAACATTTGATCAGTGAGAGATATCAGTCGGTTATTATAATTAACATTTTACTGAAAACATCAACATTATAAAATATTGTTAATGACAGAGAAACAGAAAAGATAGAAATTGAGAAATTCATAACATATCTTTCTTCAACAGTAGTAGGCACCCTTTTAGCCACATGGATGCATTTAATATATAAAAATTAGTTCCCGAAATGAGGTCTCTGTTATTTATCTTATGACCAAAGAATTAAAAAATATTGCAGACTTAAAACAATTCTTGAAGTTAAATTTAAGACAAACAGAATGTATGGAAGGAATCCATCTCAGTTTGGGACAGGGTATGATCAGTGTGGGCGGGATTGGATATCGACACAAGAAACACGCCTACCACAATCTACCCATCCCATGACAGTAAGATTGGTAAACGTAGTGCTATACGCAAACTGATAAAAAAGCACCAGACAACAGAAACAATAAATAGGTTAGTGCTCTCTCTCACACTCTATAAATAATCAGCAAAAATGTAAAATAATCTTGAAAGACACAGTATGGCACTTTGAAGTTGTTATCTCTCGTTTCAGTTGAAGTCAGTCCTTTATATGCTGGATTGTCTGGTCCAGACTCGACTATTTACAGACCACCGTCACATAGCTGGAAAATGCAGTGTGGTGGTAAACAACAAACAAACAAATCCTTAATACACTGCATATTGGTCTATCTTGTAAACAAAACAACATTTGTTTGGCCTTATTGTTACATTATCAATCTCGCCATGCTGCATTCTTATCACATTGTCAGCAGTCGGACATGATTGTACTGTGACGTTTTCTCAGACTCCATGTCAGTTCTGGTCATTGGGGGATTACTTAGCCCCTGCATGGTGGCATATTGTCTCATAAATCTATAAACAAAGTACCATCAAATTGTCTGCTTTGTCGGAATAGTGATGTGTATCCACAATGAAACCATTATGACGTCATGGTATAGTTGTTGCAGTTGATTCTGAGTCAGGAATTCACTGGCCATTCTGAACATGTGTTTTAACAAGTAAAACAGATGCAACTATAGGTCATTATGCAAAATTAGAGGGAAATCATATCACCATTACATGGTTTCAGAGTAATTACTTGAATCTGATTCTGGAGGTAGAATCAATAGACTCGGATGATTTCATAACATCATCAACGACATTCAAACATCAACATCATAAAATCTTGTAAATCATAACATTCTAACAAAGAAACAATTTTACAACATTTGCATAGTGACAGGCATCACCTTGGCTCCGGGGTCATACTACACGGGCAGATAGATCCAGCAGGCGTCCATATGTGTATCTACACGTGGTCCAGTATATGTAGACCAGTGGAGTATGGACACCCCTCCTTCAACAAAAACTGGATATGCTGCCCTTTATATTGGGTGTACAAATTCTTCATGGATTTGTGAAGTGTTCGAGAGTTTTCTGTTGCATATGTCCAAAGAAATGAAGGCACAGATTTAAAGCTCAAACAAGACAATGTAAGACTCTCAGAGACCAAATCATGGCAGATGGGTGGAATGTTTCTGTAACAAATTGAATGTCATATTCAACATATTAAAACCACCAGACTACCCCACCACCCCTATGTCTGTGTTAATAAGAACAACAGTACAACACAAATCTCATCAATTAACTGATTAATCACCATGGAAAATCAACAGCACCCATGATGTAGCACTGGTAACTGTAACAACACTCCATTCCACCCTGCCAATATACACCCTGGCCCAGCTAGGGCCACTTTGTCTCACACCCTGACCCAGCTAGGGTCACTTTGTCTCACACCCTGACCCAGCTAGGGCCACTTTGTCTCACACCCTGACCCAGCTAGGGTCACTTTGTTTCACACCCTGACCCAGCTAGGGCCACTTTGTCTCACACCCTGACCCAGCTAGGGTCACTTTGTCTCACACCCTGACCCAGCTAGGGCCACTTTGTCTCACACCCTGACCCAGCTAGGGTCACTTTGTCTCACGCCCTGACCCAGCTAGGGCCACTTTGTCTCACACCCTGACCCAGCTAGGGCCACTTTGTCTCACACCCTGACCCAGCTAGGGTCACTTTGTCTCACACCCTGACCCAGCTAGGGCCACTTTGTCTCACACCCTGACCCAGCTAGGGTCACTTTGTCTCACGCCCTGACCCAGCTAGGGCCACTTTGTCTCACACCCTGACCCAGCTAGGCAGCTAGGGCCACTTTGTCTCACGCCCTGACCCAGCTAGGGCCACTTTGTCTCACGCCCTGACCCAGCTAGGGCCACTTTGTCTCACGCCCTGACCCAGCTAGGGCCACTTTGTCTCACACCCTGACCCAGCTAGGGCCACTTTGTCTCACACACTGACCCAGCTAGGGCCATATTGGTTCACCTCTCCACCTCCCCTATCCCCCCCCCCCCCCCCCCCCCACACACACACACTACACACACAGGCCCACTCTGGACGTCCTGGGTGTCCTAGCTGTCAGTCTGAGGCACAACTTGGTCTCCAACATGAAGAGTCATTACACTGCAGGAATCGGTAATGGGAGACAACTGACGCATGTAGACGCCAAATGGAACCTGGAAAAAACGTAGACACTGATGAAATAAGGAGAAGATCTAGTTCTGGAAGTTACAATCTGTCATGAATGGCTCCTGTAATGACATCAAGCTTTTGGTTCTCACTAAACCTACCCTGGATCATGCAATGTACATAAAGACAATATTTTCAACACAAGAATCTAGGATGTATGGGGTTGGTCTGGTAGCCTAGTGGTTAAAACGTTCGCTCGCCATGCTGAAGACCCGGGTTCGATTCCCAACATTGGTACAATGTGTGAAGCCCATTTCTGGTGTCCCCTGCCATGATATTGCTAGAATATTGTTAAAAGCGGCATAAAACCATACTCACTCACTCACTATGATGTATGTATAATGATACATGTATAATTTGAATTTTGAGATTGGAAAATTAAATTCACTGGTTCTGAGTCAGAATACAAATTAACCTTTTGGGATTTCAGGTTAGACGTCTGCTGGCCTTACGAGGCGACATAAAATATTGAGTGGTCAGAGCACTAACTAATCGAGTGTTATCAGACCCCATTGGCATGGATCATTGCTCATAATATCAATCACTGGATTGTCTGGTCCAGACTTGATGATTAACAGGCCCTAGTCAGTTAGCTGGAATACTGCTGAGTGGGGGGTTAAACACGAAGCCAAACAACCTGTGCCAGAATACGTCCCCAATGCTCCCACGCTTGTGGTAAGAGGTAACTAAACTGTTGACAGACACCTGATTGAACTCACTTTTTTGCCCCTCCACATGGAGAGAGTGTGGAGTGGTTCCCGGCTTCTCTCCCCTGTCTGTTGGTCCATGCACACCATTTGGCACCGACTGCACCGACCCTGACTCTGAAACATGAAACACCATCTGATGTTGACTGAAACAAGGACACAATCTGACAATGACTGAAACAAGGACACAATCTGACCCTGACTCTGAAACAGGGAAAATCCTCTGACACTGACTACACCGACCCTGAAACTAATTGCCGTTTAAAGACGTCCATCAGAAAGCACACGTTACTACAGTGTTACTTCTTCTGAAGCTATACTCACAATCAACACATTTTTCCCAATCTTCACTTGTGTCCAGTCCTCCTCTTCAAACCCTGAACCACCACCAACAACCAGGTTGCCACGGAAACGAAGTAACAAGTTGTCTGTATCTGCAATGGAAAGATATACTTGATAGGTATGTCCTGTGTTATCATCTAGTTGGAGGTTCTTTGATTGCAAGGGTGGTGGGGTAGCCTAGTGGTCAAAGCGTTGGATTTCCTGATTCGATTTTCGGATTCGATTTCCGAGTTGGATTCCCCACATGGGTACAACGTGTGAAGCCTATTTCTGCTGTCCCCTCCCCTCCACTGTGATATTGCTGGAATATTGCCAAAAAAACATGTAAAATCAACTCACTCTTTGATAACAAAAACACATCAGCAAAATTGATGACCACTAAGAGAAGCAATAGCAGAAAATATGCTATATTGAAGCAAATGAGAACCCGAGCACTTTAGGACATAAGTTTTTCAGTGGGAACATATCGAGTGAGTGTGTTGGGGTTGATGATAGTTAAATTGAACAGTATTATATATATATCACAATGTGTCAGCTCCAAGGAAAGCCTGAAGTGATGTATACACGTATATATGTGGAACCCATGAACATGGGTATGAGGCTGTGAAACCAAAGACCATGACATGTGGACAATTAAATCTTAGAAAGCTCTCTTCAACGTATGATATTGAACAGGAGGCCTGCATGACTACAAGCATGTGCCTGGTGCTGGCCTCAGTTGACCTTGAAATCGATATGTCGCTGCTCTTACCAGAATGACCTTGACATTGTCCAATATTCTCCTGACCAGGGTCATCCTGGTCAGCCATCTTCTTCTGGAGTGACTTCACACTCTCCCTGGTGACGAGCAGGAACTGAGATTCATTTGCCAGCGACAGTCTTGCCGTGTCCGAGGTAGCTGGAACAGTGAATGAGTGACCATAGATAAAGTAGTGGTTGAGAGTGAAGCAGCTATTACATGTCTAAGTCCTGTCATGAAATATCTTGGATATAACTCACCCTGTCACTGCATGCTCCAGCCTGCTCTATGTATGAACTCACCCTGTGTCGCTGCATCCTTCAGCCTCCTCTGTGTATAAACTCACCCATGTCACTGCATCCTTCAGCCTCCTCTATGTATGAACTCACCCTGTGTCGCTGCATCCTTCAGCCTCCTCTGTGTATGAACTCACCCTGTGTCGCTGCATCCTTCAGCCTCCTCTGTGTATGAACTCACCCTGTGTCGCTGCATCCTTCAGCCTCATCTGTGAATGAACTCAACCTGTGTCGCTGCATCCTTTAGCCTCCTCTGTGTATGAACTCACCCTGTGTCACTGCACCCTTCAGCCTCCTGTATGTATAAACTCACCATGTCGCTGCATCCTTCAGCCTCCTCTGTGTATGAACTCACCCTGTTTCGCTGCATCCTTCAGCCTCCTCCTTGTATGAACTCACCCTGTGTCGCTGCATCCTTTAGCCTCCTCTATGTATGAACTCACCCTGTGTCGCTGCATCCTTCAGCCTCCTCTGTGTATGAACTCACCCTGTGTCGCTGCATCCTTCAGCCTCCTCTGTGTATGAACTCACCCTGTGTCGCTGCATCCTTCAGCCTCCCAGTCCGTGCATCCTCTTGTTTCAGGCGCAGGAGTCGAGTTCCGGGTCTCCCTAGAGCCTCACTCAGCCAGTCAGCCACCTTGTCACCACAGTCTACTGTATTCACCCTGCAGGACAACAACTATGTTCCTGTAAAACAGCTATCTATACTCCTGTGGGACAACAACTATATTCCTGCAGGAGTTGTACTATCTAGGGCTCTGACAGGTGGGAGGAATAGACTCCCTGCAGGACAACAACTACATTTCTGTAGGAGTTGCACTATCTAGGGCTCTGACAGGTGGGAGAAATGGACTCCCTGCAGGACAACAACTATATTCCTGCAGGAGTTGTACTATCTAGGGCTCTGACAGGTGGGAGAAATGGACTCCCTGCAGGACAACAACTATATTCCTGAAGGAGTTGCACTATCTAGGGCTCTGACAGGTGGGAGAAATGGGCTCCCTGCAGGACAACAACTATATTCCTGCAGGAGTTGCACTATCTAGGGCTCTGACAGGTAGAAGAAACGGACTCCCTGCAGGACAACAACTATATTCCTGAAGGAGTTGTACTATCTAGGGCTCTGACAGGTGGGAGAAATGGACTCCCTGCAGGACAACAACCATATTCCTGAAGGAGTTGCACTATCTAGGGCTCTGACAGGTAGAAGAAACGGACTCCCTGCAGGACAACAACTATATTCCTGAAGGAGTTGTACTATCTAGGGCTCTGACAGGTGGGAGAAATGGACTCCCTGCAGGACAACAACAATATTCCTGCAGGAGTTGCACTATCTAGGGCTCTGAGGTGATGTGTCAGTTGCATAGTGTCAACAAGAAAGGAGTAAATAACGTCTTTATTGGCTTTCAGTGATATTTTAGCAATATCATGGTGGGGGACACCAGAAATGGTCTTCACACATTGAACCATTTTGTCCTTGGTGTGAGGAGCGAATGCTTTTACCACTAGGCTACCCCAATGCTCCTGAACATGAAGGAAGCTTACCTGTCTCCACAGACCTTGTTGGTACACAGTCGACCTTCATAGTCCACACTGTTAGAGTCTACAGCTGTCAGAGACATGGTGATGGATTGTGTCTCTGTGAGCACAAAATAATAATAATAATAATAATAATAATAATAATAATAATAATTATTCCTCCAATGTCAAGTCAAAATATTATGTCATGCTCATAACTCTCATTCATCCTCCATTACAACCCAAAGGCTGTAAATACATTGCTACAAGGCAGATGCTGTTCGTACCTGGGAAGCTCAGGGTCAATGTGTAAGACAGGAGATCTATGGATGGTTGGAGGAGACACAACTTTGGTTCTCTTTTCTGTCCAAGAGTTACCCCACTTTCACTGACGATCATCCACTCTCTATCAAACAGCAGACCTCGTGGACCGACTTCCCATTCTGAAACCTGGCCCAAGGAGCATCAATTAAAATTAATTTACCTGTTTTAATCAGACTCTTTACTTTTTGCAAAGTATATTTATTATTAATTTAATCTGTATCCAGATATGGACATAATAGTCCCCGGAACTAGGGGAAGAGGACATGATGGACTAAAGAGCAAGGAGCTAAGGACATTATAGTGCTGGGAGCTATGAGGTATGGACATTATAGTACTGGGAGCAAGGAGCTAAGGACTTTATAGTGCTGGGAGCTATGAGGGATGGACATTATAGTACTGGGAGCTAGGAGATATGAACATTATAGTGCCAGGAGTTATGAGGTATGGACGTTATAGTGCTGGGAGACATTGACATTATAGTGCTGGGAGATATGGACATTATAGTACTGGAAGCTAGGAGATATTGACATGATAGTGCTGGAAGCTAGGAGGTATGGACTATAGTGCTGGGAGCTAGGAGATATGGACATTATAGTGCTGGGAGATATGGACATGATAGTGCTGGGAGCTAAGAGGTATGGACATTATAGTGCTGGGAGACATTGACATTATAGTGCTGGGAGATATGGACATTATAGTACTGGAAGCTAGGAGATATTGACATGATAGTGCTGGAAGCTAGTACATTTTGACATGATAGACCAAGGAGCAAGGAGATTTGGACACTACTGACCAGGAGTTAGGAGATAGACCCACCTGGAAGGCAGCACAAGACTTGACAGGGTACAGACAGATCTTGGTGAGAAACCTTGAAGCATCAGAACACTTCTCCAGAACCTCTTCCTCCTTCCTCAAGTCCTTTTCCTCTCTTGGCAACTGTCTTTTGGGAGATATTACAGGATCATGTAATGTTTGACTACTTTTAGTAACCGATGGCAGCACTGGGTTGGCATTGGAAACAATAGTGGATTTTGGAACAGGGAACTCTGGGATTGCTGCACCCTCCAGGAAGTATTCTGTGATAAAGCGCAGACACTGCACCGCATCTCCATACGTGGACATGTAGCCGAAGGATATGCGGACTGACCCTGTTGGGTGACCATCAATCATGTCTTGGTCATCTCCACAAACATGGCCGGCCTGAAACAGTGAGTGAGTGAGTGAGTGAGTGAGTGAGTAGTGAGTGAGTGAGTGAGTGAGTGAGTGAGTGAGTGAGTGAGTGAGTGAGTGAGTGAGAGAGATATAATGTGAGCATAACAGAGATAGATCAATATTGTTTTATTACAAGCCAACACGCTGTCACCTGGAAGTTTTCCCTGATCTGTTTGGAGGTGAGGTGGAGGTATTTCTGACAAGCCCCGATGTTACAGAAGCAGCCGGTCCTCAGATGGACGTCCTGCAGCTGGGCCATCTTGTCTACCTGCAGATAAATGAACAGGTGCTTGAAGAGTACCAGAACTGACCAACCACTTGATATTCTGAACAAAATTTACCTCAGGTTGTACAAACAAAACTGTCCTCAGGGTTTCTGATCATCTGGAATAAAAGAGCTTTTGTCCCCACAGAAATTGTTTGACTTTTCTTTTCAGAGAACAAATAAAAAAAATATTTTATCTCAAACCAACATTCCAAAAATTTAGCTATCTGATTGGAGTGGTAACTTGTAAAGCACATAACGCGATACGCAATGCTCGAAGTGCTACCTTATTATAACCCCAGGCGATGGGCCAAAGTGCACTTCAGTTTTCATTCTCAGCTCTCTGGAGAGTATACAACCCAAGCTGCATGTGAGGCACTAGAAGGTTAAAAGTCACATTACCTTCTCCACCTACCGGGTACCCTGCTGGGTGAACATGATACTATTTATGCTTAATGTGACGTCACTTGCTTGCCATATCAAAACTGAACCTGTTTGCAGTTAAAATATTGAGATTCTTATTGTCACTCAAATGTTTGAGGAAAAATGTTTCATTGTAACTTCTGTTCTCATGATAATTATGTAACACGTGGGGTTAATAGTGGGGTATAGGGGATTTTACGAGCTGAACATTCACATACACCTCTCAAATTTCAGTAGAATACAAACCCATTCATCTTGAAAAATCCTGCATACCCAGCTATTGACACATGTAACATGACAATCTGAGATGAGAAGGCCAGTCCTCACTAAACATGTACAGTTTGTTTGTTTCATCAAGATCTGCACCACCTTCCAGTAACATCTCATATATTAGCTGATTTCATAAACAAACCTCAGCAAATCCAACAAACTCTCCATTGTCCCGAAGGATGTTAAAGTTGACAATGGCTCCCTGGGTGTGTATGTCTTCGAACCCCTGGCAGTAGACGCGGGCAACAGGGGAGCCATTCCCGTGGCAGAGCTGAAGGAGATGGTCATGGAAGAACTTGGCCACTGTGAAGGAGTGCCTGGACACTTTCTCCATGTCACCTGCCAACAGAACCACAACAACATATCATATCTGTCAATATATCGACAATAATGTTATAGATTGAATGAATAAATAGTTAAACCAGTCAACAATAATCAAACTCTATCATGGCATCTGCAGTCTGACTAACAAGTGTTTTTTGGCATGATTGACGAACACTGAACAATGAGGACGTTCCTATGTTTGATTCTGAAAAGAAATGTTTGTTTGTTTTTAACGCAACACTCTGCTATATAGCAGCTATATGATGGCAGCCTGTACATAATCAACTCTGGACAAGACAATCAAGTGATTGATTATATAGCAGCTATATGATGGCAGCCTGTACATAATCAACTCTGGACAAGACAATCCAGTGATTGATTAATACTGTAACGATCTACATCATCGGGGTACGATGATGCGCAATCGACCAAGTCACCGATTCTTACTACCTGATAAATCTAGTCACTTACTTCGACCAGCATAGGTTGCTGATGAACATTTCTTACCCAGAATCCCAATAATGAAATAGAAATTTTCAGAAATAATATAATAAATAGAGGCTTTTCTTAGATGCTTGACAAACAATGTTTTGAGTGACCTGACAAAGAGGATGCATAGAAACGTCAACTATGTCAGATCACAAAGACCAGATAAACCTGTTATTGGATAAGATTTTATTATGTATTTTCTAACTGATGTTCATTATCTTACTCAGAAAACTTTAGCCATAGCAGTAGTTCTGGAAATAAGAGTAATTTTACATGAGTGAAATATCAATTTCGAATTTTCAGATTAATACAAAATTTCATCACTTAATACATTATAATTTCCTTTTAATGCTGGAAGACTGAAACAGCAACATACCCCCTATCCTGTGTACAGCATCCAGTCCATGCCTCAGTGCAATCAAGTCCAGGAATGGTAAGGTGCCATCTTCAAAACTAATGAAATATAAGTCAATGTGTCATGTCATCCTAGTCAATTCCCTAAAAGGGGGACTTGGCTCTGGATATTAGCAGTGCCAACAAGTTCGATTCAAATCCCTCAAAGACAACTTTGTCTGTCTGCTAGTTCAAACGTTACAATGCATCTTACAGTTTATGGTTGCTCTAACTACCAGGAAATATTGCCTCCCACTGCCTCAAGACACACATACAATGTCTTCACCTACACTGGAAACTGGAGAGGCAGTCTTTAGTTGGATAACTTGTTCCCAATTCATTTCAATCTGAATAAAATATGTTTAAACTAAACTGGAAACTGGCATCAAACTGTTGAGCAGAGTAGAATAATCACAGGAAGCATTCATAAAATCTTCATGATGTGCACAACCACTCTCAACGAAGGGAGCTAGTGCCAAGTGTTCTTCACAGATGAAGGTTGTGGGGTCTTGAGTTTAAGGTTGTGAGGTCAGGTGTGGAAGGTTGTGGGGTCAGGCGTGGAAGGTTGTGGGGTCAGGCGTGGAAGGTTGTGAGGTCAGGTGTGGAAGGTTGTGGGGTCAGGGGTGGAAGGTTGTGAGGTCAGGTGTGGAAGGTTGTGGGGTCAGGAGTGAAAGGTTGTGGGGTCAGGGTTGGAAGGTTGTGGGGTCAGGGTTGGAAGGTAGTTGGGTCAGGGTTGGAAGGTTGTTGGGTCAGGAGTGGAAGGATATGGGGTAAGGGATGAAAGGTTGTGAGGTCAGGGGTGGAAGGTTGTGAGGTCAGGGGTGGAAGGTTGTGGGGTCAGGGGAGGAAGGTTGTGGGGTCAGGGGTGGAAGGTTGTGAGGTTAGGGGTGGAAGGTTGTGGGGTCAGGTGTGGAAGGTTGTGGGGTCAGGGGTGGAAGGTTGTGAGGTCAGGGGTGGAAGGTTGTGGGGTCAGGAGTGAAAGGTTGTGGGGTCAGGGTTGGAAGGTTGTGGGGTCAGGGTTGGAAGGTAGTTGGGTCAGGGTTGGAAGGTTGTTGGGTCAGGAGTGAAAGTTTGTGGGGTCAGGAGTGGAAGGATATGGGGTCAGGGATGAAAGGTTGTGAGGTCAGGGGTGGAAGGTTGTGAGGTCAGGGGTGGAAGGTTGTGGGGTCAGGCGTGGAAGGTTGTGAGGTCAGGGGTGGAAGGTTGTGGGGTCAGGTGTGGAAGGTTGTGGGGTCAGGGGTGGAAGGTTGTGAGGTCAGGGGTGGAAGGTTGTCGGGTCAGGTGTGGAAGGTTGTGGGGTCAGGGTTGGAAGGTTGTGGGGTTAAGGGTTGGAAGGTTGTGGGGTCAGGGGTGAAAGGTTGTGAGGTCATGAGTGGAAGGATGTGGGATCAGGGTTGTAAGGTACGTGTTGGACAGTCGGAAATGGGTGAAAGATTGTGACATCAGGAGTGGAAGGTTGTGGAGTCACGGTTGGAAGGTTGTGGGCTCAGGGGTGGAAAGTTGTGGGGTCAGGGATGGAAAGTTGTGGGGTGAAGGGTGGACAGTTGTGGGGTGAGGGGTGAGGGGTGAGGGTGAAAGGGTGTAGAGTAAGGCATGGCAGGTTGTGAGGTTAACATTGTTTGATATCCATGTTGGCCGTGCCGACCCAGGCAGTCGTGTTACCTGTCTGCAAGTGTGGGCTTCAGCACATGGAACCTCTCCCTTGCATCACTGACAGCAACGGTGCCCCCTCCAAAGTACCGCTTGTGGAGCAGGGGAGCAGCATCAGCCCGGACCAGGAGGGCACCTGTGAACAGGTATTTCTCATGAGATAACAAAGATAACATTTATTCTACCATGAATGTGTAGATAACTTGATTCTGATCTGTCAATCAAAAGTTTTAAATCACAATAACCATCTCTGATTGAAACAGCCCATTTGATGACCTCATCGAAGCGGTAGCATATAGAAAGTTACTTTTTCTCAGTTATTGTCAGAAGACAGTGAACAGTTCACAAAAAGCAAAGTTGCACTTACTGCGACATTCAAAGTATGTATGGCAATATACTTTGGGCAGAAAACACAATAAAAATTGACGAAGAGTGTCAGCATTTCAACTTTTCAGGACCACACACAGCTTGGGGCTTTTCTGTTGCTGACTGTGACGTCATTATTCACATCGCAATGAGCAGTGTGATGTCATAATAGTGATGTGTGATGTGGAACTAAACTTTTCTATGCTTGCTTAATTTTCTGTATGTGTTCCTGTTTTATTTTAGAAATAAACAAGTTGAAGTTGTTTATTGTTCAATAAAACATTGCAGGGAGAATAAACCACAAGGGGCGCAGCTGATTCACTAATCCATATTTATTTATTCAGATACATACCTAGACCAGTTGGAAAACCAAAGATCTTGTAGAAAGACAAAGTGACAAAATCAGGCTTGTATTGTTTCAAGTCCAGCTTGCAAGTGCTCACATAGCTGGCAGCATCTAGAACCACATACCACTTCCCTGGCAACTTGCTCTGGAAGCCCATGTCCCCTCGCTGGACCCTGTCTATCCAGCTCAAGGGATATTTTTTTCCAGAGAAGTTAGACTGTGCTGGATATGCAAACAAATTACACTGTCTTTCTGATTGATCTTTTGTTCCCCTTTGATGGCATTCAGAGGACACATGATGCTTTTCTCCCGGACTAGAAATATCAGCAGTTGGCAGGATTGCAGTATGGTCAACTGATGATTTCTCGGTTTGATCTTTGGTTTGGCTTTGATTAGGTTTGGCAACAAATGGCTTTTGGTTGTCATGGTTTGATTCTGGTTTGTTTTGATCAGTAGATTGGCTCATGTGGATCTGATTAAGGTGATGTGGGATTTCTTGATCCAGCTCCCCCTCGTCTAGGCAGAATATCCCAGACACCTTGTCGGAGACCAGCTCCCGCATCCCCTGCACTGATGTGTGATTGTCCAGGAGGTACACAAAGCTGGCACCAACATCGCTGGCCTGAGACGTGTCTTCAGCAGAAGTAGTTGCATCACGGAAAGTAAATGTCTCGCCGATAAGCTTCAGTGCCTCGGTGCAGCCGGATGTGAATATAACACTGTACTCTTCTGTTGAGGCATTGAAAAACTGCAACACCCTGAATGACAAATAACATGGAGCAACTGGAAACATGCATATTTAATATTTTACATGAAACATCAATGACACTGAGAGAGAGAGAGAGAGAGAGAGAGAGAGAGAGAGAGAGAGAGAGAGAGAGAGAGAGAGAGAGAGAGAGAGAGAGAGAGAGAGAGAAAGAGCACGCTTTGTGATGAATTACTTCAATTTCATCTTTAGACCTGCCCAGGAAACAACCATGAAGATGCCACACATTGAAACAACAACTATCACTTCACCACTAGGGGCGAACTCAAGTCTTGGCTCAGGAACAAAACAGAGTTATTCCCCTTTGACTGCTCACATTCCTGAAAGACTCCCTCAGAAAAGACAAGAGCAGATTTAGTGTACATGAACTTCACATTATACTGGAAAACACACTTAAATAGAAAACCTGAGCCAACATATCCCTCACAGTAATTATTCGTAATCCTGCTAAAATATACAGAAGTATGACAATGAACAACCATCCAAGGAATCCTGTCTCGGTTTAGCTCTAATTAATAGCATCCCTCCGATATGGATTTTTTAATCAGAAAATTATCCTAAACATGTACAAACACAATTAGGAACAAAAATCTTGAGACAAAGCTATTATTTGGGATTGAAGGATCAAGGACCAGAAAGCCAGGTACCACTAATTCACCAATGTGCCGTCTGATTAGACAATTAGAAAGGTTGTCACAGGAAGATTGCTTCAGTACCAACTTTATAATAACCCATCTTGGACAAGCCCAGCATTAATAAGAAAATGGCCAGATAATCAAACCACTTTGCAACCAGAACAAAGATTATTTTGTCTGAGAAAGGATCATTCTGACTGTGCTTTCAATCTGACATTGTATGTTTCGACCTAAATTGGTTTGACATTTGAAACAAGAGGATTTGTTTTTATGGCTTGGAAGCAGACTGAATGGAAGAATGGAAGAGAAACTACTGAGAATGGAAATCAATTCATGTTGGTTCATTTCACTGCATAGTCGTATTTTCTTGCTGCTTAGTTTGATTCTAATTTTAAAACCGACATCTGGATTTCTTTTATGTTGTACAAAGAAGCTATGAAAATGAATGACATCATGCAACTTGATGAAGAAATCTACATTTGGTACATAAATCAAAGTATTTATACACTTCAACGGAGAAGCAGCTCCTTGGTATGTATGTAAGATTAAGATTTGGTTTTCTAAGATTGGAATAAAATGAAAGTTATATTCATGCATGGCACTATTGCTACTCTGGTAATAACTTAAAATACCCAAAGGTTGACACTTCAGATGGTTGTTGTGAGCATTAAGAGTCCAATTCTTTTAAAGTCTTGAAACTACAGGTAGCATCAATGAGTGAGTGAGTCTGTCTGTCGACGTCTCCCTCCCCTTCTAACACAATACCATAAAGTGTCTGGCTACTTGCAGTGTCCATGATTGAGTGAGTCTGTCGATGGCCCCTCCCCTTCTAACACAATACCCACAGAGGACTGGCTACTCGCAGTGTCCATGAGTGAGTGAGTCTGTCTGTCTGTCTGTCATTGGCCCCTCCCCTTCTAACACAATACCATCAGAGGTCTGGCTACTTGCAGAGTCCATGATTGAGTGAGTCTGTCGATGGCCCCTCCCCTTCTAACGCAATACCATAAAGTGTCTGGCCACTTGCAGTGTCCATGATTGAGTGAGTCTGTCTGTCTGTCGATGGCCCCTCCCATTCTAACACAATACCATAAAGTGTCTGGCCACTTGCAGTGTCCATGATTGAGTGAGTCTGTCTGTCTGTCGATGGCCCCTCCCATTCTAACACAATACCCACAGAGGTCTGGCTACAAGTAGTGTCCATGAGTGAGTGAGTCTGTCTGTCTGTCTGTCATTGGCCCCTCCCCTTCTAACACAATACCATCAGAGGTCTGGCTACTTGCAGAGTCCATGATTGAGTGAGTCTGTCGATGGCCCCTCCCCTTCTAACGCAATACCCACAGAGGACTTGTTACTCACAGTGTCCATAAGTGAGTGAGTCTGTCTGTCTGTCTGTCTGTCATTGGCCCCTCCCCTTCTAACACAATACCATCAGAGGTCTAGCTACTCGCAGTGTCCATGAGTGAGTCAGTGAGTCTGTCAATGGCCCCTCCCATTCTAAACAATACCATCAGAGGTCTAGCTACAGGCATAGTGTCCATGAGTGAGTGAGTCTATCTGTGTCGATGGCCCCTCCCCTTCTAACACAATACCCACAGAGAACTGGCGACAAGTATTCCCTTCTCTTTACAACACCCAAACACTATCTGAGCGAACCCAATCCCCTATCACACCTACGAACAACCTGAACCATGGAGGTGATTGAGCGAGTCTGTTGATGGCCCCTCCCTTCTGACTCAATACCCGCAGTGGTCCTAGAACATGCATCATCACCTGTGTTATTCTGTACTCTTCCCAGGAGACAAGACAAACACCTCATTAGGTCCCCCATGTGAGTCGTGTTCTGTGATTAATCTATATTCAGACACAAGTAAACGAAGGTACCTGTTATATAAAGAGTAAAAACCTCAGAACCTGAAGCCTACCATTAAAACAGAGAAGAACCTCTTCAACATTTTTGTTTTGATGTAGATCAGGTTTGCAATGATTGCAGAATAATGGTAAATCAGCAAAGAGACAACGCCCAACTTGCAGTCAAGGATGAATTCCAGGTTCTAATGATCTTTTAAGCATATGGAGTTTTACCAAAACAAACTTTACCAAATGCATATTATGCCAGTGCTCAGGTAATCTGGTGGTGAAATGGGGTCTAACACAGCGTTCAAGATTATTGCACTTATATAGCGATGTGTGTGGTGTGGTGTGGTGTGGTGTGGTGTGGTGTGGTGTGGTGTGGTGTATGGCATGGTGTATGGCGTGGTATGTGGTGTGTGGTGTGTGTGTGTGTGTGTGGCTGCTTGTACTCGTCCAGACTAATGCCAACTTTATAGTGTGAGCCCACTGAGATAGCATGCTGCAGTTTAACATGATTACCCTACTCAGACACAGTATACTGATTCTAAGCCAACCAGTCCTTGTTTTAGACCCTTAATGCCGAGCGCAAGGCAGGGCAACAACAAGTACCATATTTTAACATCTTTTGGTATGTCATGGCCAGGGATAGAACCCCCGACCTTCCACTCTCCAGGCAGACACTCTGTGACAAGACCATGGAGGCAGTCTATCAGAGAAAGTATGTGATGTATCCTTTGATGTTATCAGAGGGAATAGCAGTGAGACAACATGTCATGTATTCAGATGCACTATCCATAAGACCACGGAGGTGGTCGCTCAGTTAAAGCTACATCTAACGTCCCTGTTGAAGTATCACACTGCATTTACACATCATACTTTCCCGCCACAACACGTTTACAAACTTTGAATGTGTTACCTTGTATGAGGACAGGTAGAGGCCCACAAGCAAACATTTACCTTTTCATATTTTCTTTTTGACCTCCACCGTGTCATACCAGAAACATTAAAAGATGGTACTTGTTGTTACCCTGCCTGGCACTCAGCATAAAGGACAGGGACTGATCGGTTTGCAATCAGTATACTGTGTCTGAGTGGGGTATCCATGTTAAACTGAGGCATGGTATCTCAGTGGGTGAGCACTATAAAACCGGCATAAGTAGGAACAGTACAAGCAGCCAGGCGTACAAGTATAAACATAGCTTTTTAAGTGTTAGTTAGTTTGTTTGTTTGTTTGTTTGTTGTTTTACACCGCACTCAGCAATAGTCCAACTACGTGACGGCGGTCAGTAAATAATTGAGTCTGGACCAGACAAACCAGTGACTGACATCATAAGCATCGATCCACGCAACTGGGATACGATGAAAATCATCAACCGAGTCAGCAAGCCAGACCACCCGATCCCGTTAGTGGGTTGCTGAAGACCTTTTCTACCCTGGATCTTCACGGGTAGCTATATAAGTGAAATAATCTTGAATGGGATGTTAAACCCTATTTCACCTCACCTGCTATTTCCAGACTCACTTTTTTCCAACTTCAAAGACAATTTGTGTTAACTTAAATCTTAAAAGATTTGAGGATAACACAAGTAAGCTAGATGTGTGATGATGTAGTCAGGTGTATCATATAGCAGCCTCAATCTGAGACAGAATACAACAAAGCGAGCTCATGGTTGGGTTAACATCACTTGATCAATATTTCAGCGTATCACTGGATATCAGCATCATGTAAGAGGAAAGCCAAAGTGACCCCGACCTTAGACGTTTACAACTTAGGTGAAACCACGACCAGGGTACGGTGTGACAAACCTAAACACATAGTACAGGGGAACCCGGATAAAACCCTGATCACAGGTTTCTGGTAGGTCCAAGGTCCATATCTTTCCACAGAACACTGCAGTCTTAGAAGACTGGGCCCTCATGCTCCTCAAATCCAACAGAATTCTCCCTAAATAGGCCTCATGGGAATTTGGGGTACAAGGGTCCTTACTGGTAATCCTGGATAAGTTCAACCGACTCCCAAGACGTGTTTGAGACAAGCAGGCGGCACACAGAAGTTGAGCAAACATATTTGGTGTGTAACAGGTAGAGAGGGTGTACGCATGTTGTGCATGTGCAGCTCATGATGATGAAATTTACTTGCTCATAAGACAATAAGGAGGTCAGTGTGACAAGTTGATACTAGAATTCTTAGCCAAGACATGCACATATCCATATCATAATACTTGTCGCGGACCACCTGCTATCCCTTTTTTCATAATGGTACACACCAGTGGCAGGACCTCATACATAGTCATACAGGGTTAATTGTCAGGTCACATGTCAGAATGATGGGGGGAATCCCTTATACACTGCCATGAGCACCACAGGCTGCACATGCATTCTGAGAGACAGAATAAATCCTTTATACCCCGATTCAAAGCAAAAAGCTGCACGCTTTTTCCGAGCCAATGGATGTCACGTGAAAAAGGGCAAACTAATCTCAGCTCAATTGAGCAGCTGTTTTCTATCAATTTGGAATATATTTGAATTATTTTACAATGTCATATTAAACCATGTCGGTTTCGCAGTATAAAACCTAACGCAGGACGCATAAAACCCCATGTACCCCTCATGATTCTGTTACAACTTATATTATCCTGGCTTACCAGTAGTATCCCATGCTTGTTGTGACAGTCTACTATAGTAGAGATCTGGTTTTTGGCTAAAGGTGCAATTGTCATCACTGCAGCAGTCTTATGCAGGTGGGTACAGTGAATGTGGTATATAGCCAAGGGAATAAGAATATTTAGCATACCTCCATGTCAGAATGATGAGATCTGATTGCTTCACATGATCTTGAATAAATATTATGTATTGTGCCTGGGAGGGATATAAATTTCTGAGCGGGAGAATAATCTCTTATACCCCACCAAGATGAAGACAGGCTGCACATGGATTTCTGAGGGGCAAAATAAATCCCCTATACCCTGCCTTGAGTCAAAAGGCTGCATAAAACCCCTTGTACCCCTCGTGATTCTGCTACAACCAATTTATCTTACCGACTTGTTTTGATATGACATTGTAAAACAATTCAAATATATTCCAAATTGATCGAAAACAGCTGCTCGATTGAGCTGAGGTTAGCTTGCCCCATGTCACGTGACATCCATTGGCTCGGAAAAAGTGTGCAGCTTTTAGCTTTGAAGTGGTGTATAAAGGATATATTCTGTCTCTCAGAAAAGCATGTGCAGAATGTAGTGCTCGTGGCGGGGTATAAGGGATTTATTCCCCACTGAGGCATTTATTACCCTCCAAGGCGGGTTACACAGGATTTTATCAAGATCATGTGGACCAATCAGATCTCATCATTCTGACATGGAGGTTTGATCAACATTCTTTTACCTGGGGTATAGAACCTTGGGATTAGAATGTATACACTTCTACCTGGGGTACAGTGCCTAGGAAATAAGAATGTATATTCTTCTACCTGGGTTACAGTGCCCAGGGATCAATATAAGGGTAATGAGGTCTTCCATTAACTGCCTGACAAAGGAGGGCAGTTGAAAAGACCGAGGGCTTCTGCAAATGATAATGCCCTGAAAAATAGTGTTACCGTTATTATAGCTAAAATGGATGGAATTTATTATCAAATAAAAAGAAACAACAATATCGGTCTTCAAACAACTTTACTGCAATCAACACGAATGTCACTGACCCACTTTTACAAATATGGAAACGTCATAGAACAAACCAGATGATGTCACTATTGAACATGACGTCACCTATCCCTATCCTATGACGTCACCTAACAACAGGCGTGATAATGGCCCCTCATCAAGAAATATGAGGACTTTATCAACTTACGGTGGCCCACTCATTTTTGATAACATGCGGGCAGTTTAATAATAATTCTATCCATTTTTGCTACAAGAATGTATATTCATAATTCTTCTACCTGGTGTACAGTGCCCAGGGAATAAGAATGTATATTCTTCTTCCTGGTGTACAGTGTCTAGGAAATAGGAATTTAAATTCTTCTACCTGGTGTACAGAGTATACAATAAGAATAAATAGTTTTCTACCAGGGGTACAATACCCATACTGCATTGGCTCTTGTGTTTAACACTAAAGGTCTTGAATCTTGTTGGCAAAACCAAGAGGCACTCGTTTTATCCATGTTATTCTGTGTTTGAATCTTAAGACTAAAAACACAAAATTAACTTTATCCAAATTCCAGAAAAATGCTCTATCCTAAATGCCAGATATTTTTCAGTATGTTATAGTGAGTGAGTGAGTGAGTATGGTTTTACGCCGCTTTTAGCAATATTCCAGCAATATCACGGCGGGGGACAACAGAAATGGGCTTCATACATTGTACCCATGTCGGGAATCGAACCCGGGTCTTCGGCGTGACGAGCGAACGCTTTAACCACTAGGCTACCCGACCGCCCCCAGTATGTTATAAGAACAATCATATCAAATTAAAATCTTGCAGTGAATGTCAATCACAAGGCTCAATTTTCTACTGAAGATGCTAAAAACCTAGTAATTGTCCAACCAGTTTGTTTTTTAACTGCATCATTAACATCAACAGTGAACTAAGTGACACATGGTTTGAACAAAGTAACATTTAACTACAATTTTCCCGTAATAACTCTAGTTTCTATCATTACTACATAAATGCCACATTCCCAAGATCCTCACGGTCAGGATAATTAGCAGTCATTAAGACATCAATAACATCGCGCCCCGAAGGTGTCAGTGGTTCAGATACTATCTGTCTACAACTGACCCTAATGAAGACGCCACCTATGTTTGGCAGTATGTGTGGCACGAGAAACTTGTTAACGATGTACCTCACCTGGTCAGGTGAGAGAAACCTGTTACCAATGTGCCCTCCCTCAGGTACTAATTATAGGTATCTCACTGAAGGTCATTTGTTTCAGTGAGGGTGTCAGTAGAGGTCAAGGTTTTATCTAGCAATTCAAACTAATGCCTTAGCAGACAAACTTGGGAGCAGGAGGAAAGAGAAGAATGTATTTTATCAAAAATTGTGATGAATTTCAATAATATTATTTCATAGAATGCAGATATATTTTAACATTGCATTCAAAGCCATTATGTAAATTTAAGTACTAAAGCTCTATTCCCTTTACTGGACTCTACTGAACTTCCAGGAACTAAAACCTATCATATAATCATCTGAATTAGGAATTTTGAATTCCAATTCAGGATTTTTCACTAACATTTTCTGCTGATGAGGAACCCAATATTGCGTAGATAAATCTCTATAGGAATGTGCATATAAAACATATACTGTAGTGTTTCCAATATAGGACATCTTTTAGCACAGTCCATCGTACAGTTCTGAAGCAGGGGCTGACTGTGATTCATATAGTCAACCTACAATTTGAAAAATCTGTTCAGAGACCAGAAAGTCATAAGTGATGTAGACAAAATGTATTTACATCTCACCTTAATTTTTTTGGAGATGCCAATAACTCTTATTCAGTGAGAGTAATACTGACATTTTAGCTGTGAAAGCAAGGGAAAAGATGCTGAAACTTTGTGGACTCATTTTTAATGTGTGGATGAGTTGGACACAAATATTTTGGCTGTATAATGTGTATAGAATACATGTTTTGACTATTTGAATAACGTGATTATTTCCCCAACACCTTCATTCCTTCTGTACCTGTATCTGATTTGGTCGATGGTGTCTGTAGTGAGGCGGCTACTCTGACTGCGGGAGTGAGGGTTGCCGTAGACGTTGTGGAGGAGATCCTGGTGGAACGCCTCCAGCTGACTCCGGGCATAAAGTGTGGTGCCAACATGGTCCACATAGGTTAGTCCTGAAATGTCAAGAAATATCGGTGAGTGAGTGAGTGAGTGACTCCGGGCATAAAGTGTGGTGCCAACATTGAGGACATAGGTTAGTCCTGAAATGACAAGAAATATCGGTGAGTGAGTGAGTGACTCCGGACATAAAGTGTGGTGCAAACATGGTCCACATAGGTTAGTCCTGAAATGACGAGAAATATCGGTGAGTGAGTGAGTGACTCCGGACATAAAGTGTGGTGCCAACATGGTCCACATAGGTTAGTCCTGAAATGACGAGAAATATTGGTGAGTGAGTGTGAGTTCGGACATAAAGTGTGGTGCCAACATGGACGACATAGGTTAGTCCTGAAATGACAAGAAATATCGGTGAGTGAGTGAGTGACTCCGGGGATAAAGTGTGGTGCCAACATGGTCCACATAGGTTAGTCCTGAAATGACAAGAAATATCGGTGAGTGAGTGTGAGTTCGGGCATAAAGTGTGGTGCCAACATGGTCCACATAGGTTAGTCCTGAAATGTCAAGAAATATTGGTGAGTGAGTGAGTGACTCCGGACATAAAGTGTGGTGCCAACATGGACAACATAAGTTAGTCCTGAAATGACAAGAAATATCATTGAGTGAGTGGGAGAGAGAGAGAAAGTGGGAGAGAGAGAGAAAGTGGGAGAGAGAGAGAAAGTGTGTGAGAGAAAGTGAATGAGTGAAAATGAGTGAGTATTGTTCATGTTCAAAATTAGTGTCACCCCCAAATCCAGTTCTTAGTTGAGATGGGCTCTTGAGACCATGGCCCCTTGGCCCTTACCAGGCAATAATAAAGCTAAGACTGTGATAGGCTTCTGCTGATGAACATCAGTCAGCACCTCAGCAGGAGTCATGGCCTGTTCCACACAGAGATCTCTGCGGTCTTTGTGTTGAGACGAGTGCAACTCCCATATTTTAACACAATCATAGTTCTATGATTACTTTGAGGAACAATCCCTGGGTGCTGTTTTTCAAAATGATCTTAGCCATAAGGTTGTCGTTACTCCCATACCTTCCATAACAGAAACTTACTACAGTCTTAGCACTAAGGTTGTTTTGTACGACACCCTTGACTCAAATACTTTGGGCACAATGAAACACAGTGGTCACATATTGATGCATGCATATATATTAGTGACACCTTTGCTTTGAGAACATTTCATCTGTTACTGTAATGCTTTTATTGATATATAATAGATGCATGGCTACAACACATGTCTCACAAACCAAAGTTTTCTTGATACTAGAGATATCTATTTTAACCACTACTTTCATAGCATATGAACCAAACTATTCTTCTCTTACTTCATGTTCTTTGCACACTTACCAAAGACTAACATATTTTCACAGGAATAAAGTTATATTATTTAAAAATATATATGTGAAAAATAAAATATAGCCCACATGGAGCCCAGAACAAAGCATAATTGAGGAAATCTAGACTTGCCAAATCATTCTAGACTTGTTGGATTCCCTTGTTAGTGTATTCTCTAGTCTGGGAGACAATCTCACTTTACCCATGAGAGGAATAGAACCTTAGTGTTTGT